CTCCCCGCGCACAGGGAGAGGAGGGCAGCAGGTGCGGGCACGGTGAGTCCAGAACCCCTGAGGTGGGCCAGATAAATGGGCCTGCGGGCCGTAGTTTGAGGACCCATGTATTAAAGGAACATGCTATTATCTTATTACTCGTAGAACTTTTATCACTGAACTATTGATCCATGGGAAAAGGTGTAGTTTACTCTGCTTATTAAAAGGGAGATTCCAGCCAACTTTCAGCATGACTCATTATTCCTTATACAGGATTCAGTGCTGCCTGCCAGTAGGATAAAATTATGTAGAGGTTGTACAGTCTTTCCTCCACAGTGCGATGATTTGGCTAAAGACGGCCCCAGTAACAGCTCATTCTCCCTAAATAGTACAGCTCTCCTTTCTTCCATGCAGTTTCATATGCGCCTGGATACCGCAGCCAAAACTTTACATTATGCCATTGACTTATCGGTCCATTGGGTGCAGCCAAAAGAACAAGCTGTAATTTGATCACTGCCAGGCCCACACATCAGTCTAGTAAAATGTGTGGAGCTTCTCCAGCTGGTTACATCTGACCCTCGCATCTGGGTCACTCGTTAGAATGAGTCTTCCATGCTGTTCTGTTACTGCCGAGCACCCTAAGTAGGGATGCCACCAAGCCTTGGAATTGGTTTCGATGTTGGATCCATTAGGTGTGTAATTTCCAAATGCCTAATGAGTCTGAACCTTGATCTAATGAATTTTTGTAATTCAGACTGAATTACAATTTTTAAAATTCAAATTGAAAAGTTAATAAAGTCTGCTTCTACGTTGTCTGATATAACTCTTCCATTTATGTTGGTTACTGTAATCCTTCCCCTTTTCAAGGAAATGTGAATGAGCATACATATCAAATTTTATTTCTATCCTTTCTTCCACCCTTTTCCTCATATTACTCAACAATAGCAAATGCAGCATATGTGAAAACAGCCTGCCCAGAAATGTGCGTGGAAACACAAGACATCATGATGTAATAATGGCTTTTTTCCCTTGCCAAACTTGTACATGTTAGATTCCCCAGATGATTTGGTTATCTGCATGGGAAAGAATTTGTAACATGTACAACATCTCAGACAAAGAATTTCTATCCAAACTTGTGATATTACTTAAATTACAATTTCTGCTAACACACACACATGTTGTAGGATTCAAAGCAAGTACTATTGCATAGAAAAAATGAAGTACTAATAGAGACATTCAGAAAGGTGGAATACTGAGCATGAAAGATGTATTTCACAGAGTGGTTGAAAAATTGGTTACATCTGACAAAAATAGCTTCTTGGTTAGTCTAGTGTTATTTCCCCTTGCCCCAGTGCTTTAATAAAAAAGGAATGGCCTTCCATGATGAGTGTCCTGCATAGAGGAATCAAGTAACCCTTATCCTGCTAGTGTCATAGCAGCATTAGGGCAGTTGCTGGGAGTGCAGAGGGACAGGCAGAGAAGTCCTTTCCCAGCTCCTCCTTTCAGGCCCAGCCAGTACTCTGGACAATATTACCACCAGGAAGACTTGCACCCCTCCCACATCTTACCCTTTAACACCAAGCCCTGTGTCAGGAAAAGGGCACAATACATTCCAGGTCCCTTACCCCACACACTGGTGAGAAATGGCTGTATATTTCAGAAAATCTTATATGTATTTACTTACTTCAAATCAGTACCAATGGTACTTCTGTAAAAAAAAACCCCAGTGTCACTCTTTATACTTTTATCTGAAACATTATTTAATATGTTTTCTAACTGCTAATGGTCAGAAAATTCTTAGCATTATATTAACTAACAGCACAGTGGAGTATTGCTACTACAGTGCTAGCTTGGCTCACGAATGCCTCAGTTCACGACGAAATTGTGAACAGAAATTTCATAAAAATTTTGCAGAAGGTTGCGAACTCCACATCGGGTGCCGATCGCGAGTGTGCCCGCCTTCCCTGCACGGGTGTGATTGCGGTCGTGCTGGGGGGGGGGAGTGGGGAAATGGCCGCGTTCATGCTGGGAGATGGCCATGATTGTGCTCATGTTCCCTGCCCAAGCGCGCCCATGCCCGCCTCCCCTGGCGCGACCGTGCCCATCTCCCCCTACCCCCCCCTGCACGATCGCTGGGGGTGGGGAGATGGCCGCGATTTTTGTTGTTCTTTGTCACTTTGCTTCAAATTTTTGTGAGTAAAAAAAATTAATTGCAGAACATATTAACCTTATTTACATTGACCCTTATGGGGAAATTTGACTTGGCTCACAACCAATTTGGGTCACGACCAGAGTCCTGGAACGGGTTAAGCTCGTGAGCCAAGGTACCACTGTATCTAGCTTGCTCTTCTCTGGAGCAAGCATAGTGCAGGCCTTGTCTTGTGCATGCTCAAAGTGCCATTCACAGATTGGGCTCGCTTTCAAACAAGTGGGCACAGGACTGCAGCCTCAGTCACTCAAGAGTGCAGTTCACTCTCCTAGGTTTTAACACTGAGAAGCAGATTCAGCTGAAGCAGTCATCTCATTTAATGTTAATGGATCAGTACTGACTTGACAAAGCATTTGAGTTTGTACTTGGGGAATAAATGCAGTCACAAGATCAAAAGCAAACTATGGTCAGACACCTTTGCCTCCCTCTCCAGGTGCTAAATTGCCTTGCAACTATTATATTAAGGCAAATGCAGCATTTGGCCCTGCTGGCTTAGCTCAAGGAGTCTCCCCTTTGTGAGGAAACTCTTGCCTCCTTACCAGCCTCAGTCATTTTCAATGAAACAAGAAAGCAAGTTTAGCTCTTATTCTGCTTCTGGTGCCCCCATCCCAGAAAGTCGCAAGTGAGCATTGCTGGGTGAAGTTGCCTTGTTGCAGAGCAGCTAGGGAGAAGAGCAAGCGCAGGAGGCAGTCTTCCTGCAGCTACCTCTGCTTGCATGGAAACATCCCCGTCAGACTCAGTGAGCAGGGAAAGAGACAGAAAAACTCAGACACATCTCCTGCTTGTCTTCAGAGATGGAAGTTTCAGATGGGTCTTTTTGGGCATACACTCCTCCTACCTGATTTTCCAGTGTCAATGTGCTTGATAGCCAAGGACAAGCCAGGCTGCCGGGGGTCCCCCTCCCCCCAAACCCTATAGCTTATCCTGCCCGATGCAACAAAGTTATTTGCAAAATGGGCTGATAAGCAGAACCCTAAAAAATGCATGTTTTTTTCCCTTTTCTGGAACAGGTGTTGTCTATCTACTGTAAGGGTAGGGACAAATAGAAGAATACACTCACTAGCAGGCTTCAGGCTAGTAAGAACAAAACTTCCAACAAATGTAGCTATCTTTCTGTGTTGGAGGGCAATCCCTATCACAAAGCCATACAACAGACAAGCATCCATTCCATATTATATGAAAGGCTCTGAGGCTTCAAAGCAAATGGACAGCCAAACTAGGATATGAATCAGTGGTTTTTAGTCAGTTCCTTTTCACCAATATGCTCCACTATATTACATGTTCACAGGAAAACATTCAGAAACCATAGATAACCTGAATCAGATTATCCACTCTTGTGCTACAATGTCAACATTTCAGCTTTTCCTTGCAACCATGAAATAAAACACCCCTACTCAAGCCTTAGAAATGGACCAACTACTCATTATTTAGATTCCAATTCCTGTGGGCAGCCACAGAGTAAACTGGCCTTCCCCAATCTGATGGCCTTCAGAGGCATTTGGACCACAACTCTCAGAATTCCCATCCAGCAGAGTTATTGACTGGGAATTCTGAGTGTTGCAGTTCAAATGCGTCTGGAAGGCACAAGGCTGGGGAAGGCTGGAGTAGCCAAATAAACATCCAGTGGCTGCTCTACACTGAATTGTTTGGGTGTTGTTAATTCCAACGATCAAGTGTTTCACATCTTTTGGCAATTTACAATGATGCAACAGAAGTCACTAAATCCATATGCAGCATTACTGTACTGAATAACTTGTTGGAAGGAGCAACGAGTTATGGCTATTTAAGACATTGTGCCCAATGTTAGTCAGCCAAAGTTCCAAACTCTAAAGTAAGGTTCACTTGACATTACTGACAAGAGTCTAGTTGCTTCTGCCCTGCATTACTCCCAGTAAAGTATGAAGATTTCAGCTGTATTTGGTTAAGGTAAAGTGCAAAATTTGCACATCACAGTATGCACGCTATTACATGGGCAGTATACAATCCATCTGCTCCAGTAGTGAATAACCTGTGTGGTATATCCACATGGTACTGTGGAACGTTGGCTCACGAATTTAATCTGTTCCAGGATTCTGGTCGTGACCTAAAGTGGTTGTGAGCCAAGTCAAATTTTCCCATAAGAGTCAATGTAAATAAGGTGAATCTGTTCTGCAACTATTTTTTTTACTCACAAAAATTTGAAGCAATGTGACAAAGAACAACGATCATGGCCATCTACCCCCCCCCCAACAATCATGCAGGGGGATGGGCACGGTCATGTGGGGGGGGGAGGCGGGCATGAGTGCACTCGGACAGAGAACATGGGCACAATTGCAGTCATCTCCCCCCACGGCATGACTGCGATTGCGCCCGTGCAGGGAAGGCGGGCACACTCGTGATCGTCACCCGATGTGGAGCTTGCGACCTTCAGCAAGATTTTTATGAAATTTGTTTGCAACCTGATTTGATTGTGAACTGAGGCGTTTGTGAGCCAAGGTACCACTGTATATTTTAACAATATGGAAGATGTTACTAAGAACTGTGTGAGAGCTGCCATGATGGTGGCTGCTGTACCAGGAACTGTAACCTGTCTGGGGAACTTATGCATTCCAACATGGCTGGTTTCCCTTTAAGCAGCGAGCCAGATGTTTTCCTTGGCATTTCCAGCCTACATGTGAGCTAGTAGCAAGTTTAGTTTAGAAACTCTCTTACCTTCCCCAGTCATCTCTATAATTTCCTTTCAAGTCTGAGATCTTTGGAGCATGTTACAATGATTAAATGGGCAAGGCATAATATCACTGCCATGAATAATTAAGTACAGTATTTTCAAATATATGCTTTTTTTCCTTTTTTATTGCTGTTAATTCAAGGAGAAATGCTGCATAAAATCCATTCTTTCTAGAAATATAAGTGACCTTTCCAGTACATAACATTTCAAATATCAAAGTATATGGTAAACATACAAATAAAGAGAAGGCAATATACCTCCTATTTACAGTACAGTATCTCAAATCATAAAATAAGTTCCATAAAGTAAACTGGCAGGTAATTGAGAATGCAAGTCCACTGGTGCTTTGAACACCCTCACTAAATTCAGAAGCAGTTATTTCATTTGAATATGGTCCACCAAACCAAGCACAAATAATTTTTAAAATGAAAATATTTTCTATGCTAATTTTCTTTTAAATTAAAGCTCTCATCTACCCTTTTACATCCTCACTTTCAAAATATATTGGTGCTATAAATATAAATGCTATCTATGAAGAAATGTAAATCAAGTTTCTTCAAGTTTCTTGTTTAGCAATTAGAATTAATCAAAATTGTTTTGACTTGTTTCCATCTGCTGCATATCTATTTTTTAAATAAGTAAAATCTATATTTTTGCTCTGAATTGTGATACCTATGGGAATACACATGGTGGTAGTTCAGTGCTGATTTCAACAGTTTTAAGTTTTCTTCCAGATAAACTCAGTGCACTTAAGAAATCAAAAATCACCTGGAAGCAATTGATTACACCTTGGCTTTTAGAACTAAGATACAGCAGCGTTAAACTTAGTGATATGACACTAACATGATCAATCTTCACACTCATTGGAGTCTTTCACATTATATCATGATCACACAGTGGTACATTGTCATAAGAAAGTGGCATTGCTATTTGGTAGACTGGTTTTAGTATATAAATACTTGACTGATTTTTTTTAGAATACACACAGGTTTCGTCCAGATTGAAATAAATCACTTACATTCTAAACACAACACTGTAAGAGCCTAAAGAGGATGGTGTTAAATTATCATGATGTTTCTTTTGTTTGATGAAGTAGAATATGTTTAATAAACGATACTTGCTGCCAACTTCTATTACAAATGCAAAAACACAAACTATGGCATTGATACCAATTACTCACTTTGAACCAACAGGCTTAAAAAAACTACAACAAACATAAATTGTTCAACATATTTCTATTCAATCTGCTAAGTTCACACAATTTAAAACCTTGCCCAGTTTTTCCCCCTTTCATTTAGGCACATAAGAGCTGTATATATTGTGAATTTTCAATCTCTTAAGAAAAAGCAAGCAATGCCCCCATCTGTTCACAAGCATAGGGATTTACTAGAATTATGGGCAGGATTTATTTAAACAGCTGAACATCCATTCAGTCCCATGAAGGCATACAGACTCAGCAAAGGTGGGAAAGAAGAATAGCAGCATAAGTGGAGGGGGGGGAAGGGAAATGTTACTTTTAAGAGCATGACCCAGTTTCTCCTTTCAACCATATGGCTGTTCAACCAGTGTAGTCAGAAGTTAAATGATCTTAAAAACAAAAAACAAACAAGCGAGTAAACATTGCATGTCTCAAGTCTTCAGTGCAAAAGTCTATTCATTCTTTTGATTTGATTGGCTGAGATAGCAAGATGCTTTATGTAAGTCAGACCAGGAGCAAAACCGCTTTCTTCTTTTGTATTAGAAGAGGCGTTCATGAGCAATGAAAAATGCAACAGAACATAAACACACACAAGGACTCTCTCAAATCCAAAGAATTCCCCAAATTTCCCAACCTTCATTTTGGTATGTAGGCAATGTTTACTTGGTTTCAGTCAGCAGAATCCAACGTATCATTAGAAGGGGGTGGGGGAGGTGCATATCTCAATCTGTAAGTGCCTAGAACAGGAAAAAGAACTTACTAAGTCACTGCTTACACTTAATAAAAATGATGAGAGAAAAAAAATTGTTAACCCAATGTGAACACTCTTTCAAAAATGCAATTTTCATATCCAAAGCTTTATAGATCTACATAGCCTGCCTAGAAGTTTGTAAATAAAGTCATCCTGAACCACCAACAAGCACACAGTGGGCCAGTTCGCATGCAACTAGTCCCTGTGGTTTGATCACTCCCACTTGGCTCCATCTGAGAATACATCCTGGGACCCAACTCTAGCTTGTCAGGGGAGTGAAAAGTTAGGGTTCTGGATTTAGTTTTCGTAACAAGCAACCAAAAAAAGCTTCCCTGGATTATTTAGTCACTGCTACTGGCAGGAGGAGCCAAGCTGGATCAAGCAAGCCATGGGGATCAGCACACTGGCTCATTTATGATAATCCAAGCTTTAAAAAAAAAAAAAACTGGGTTGTTGTTTCGTATAGTTGCTACTTTCAGACAAAGCTAAACCATGGTCTGGCTCTTTGAATAAGTGCAGTGTCATACACTCCCCTTTCTCCTCCAGCATAGCTATAATTATACTTCAGTCTAATTGCAGTTTACTGTATCATCAGAACCCTAAACTGTTGTTAATCTTAATTATGGTTTGTGATAACAAGTTAACTTCATAAAGTCTGGTTTGAGGTTGGCTTGTTTCCAGTAACAAAGATTAAGCACAAGTCTGTGTGGATTTCTATGGCACAGCAAGCCCAAGTTAAGCTAAAATGGAAGTGAAATTCCAAATTCCTCCTCATGGACACACTGAAGGGGGGCAGTATGCAAGTCCGGATGAGATGAGACTCATCCTCATAGCATTACACCTGTAATGCTGGTATACTGGGCTTATTTCAGTGGGACTACTCCTGAGCATAAAGCTTCAAATGATCAGTTTGCCAAATTGGTCTACTCTGTTCAAGTTTCACCAGCTAAAACACAAACCGGAAAAACCAGAGGGGGTGGAAATGGAGACAGGTTACAATTACAAATAATTACAACAATAAAGATATAAAACTGATCACACCCCTTGGTTTTAATGGTTTATTCATGACTTATTATGTGTATCTATATATATTGTTTCAAATGTTTCTGGTCAGTCACATTTGTAGGGAAGAAGAGAGAAAACAAGCTCTAGCTATGCACAGGTACAATGAATGACCTGCTCATTTTTAATGAAGCACAGAACATATACAGCATGTGTGAATTATGAGTTTTAAAAGTGAAGAAGTTTTTGTCTGACTGCTTTGAAATGTAGCATTGACAAGACACAGTCACATTTTGGCAGCACAAATTCTAAAAATCCAGGGAAATGCGCTAGGGTTGCTTCCCCGCTCATCACTGCCCTATGGCCCGATTCGCTTGTAACTATCTGGCCCTATTACAAACTACTAAATGATTTTACAGTCAATCCTGCACGCCCACATACACACAATCATACAATTCACAGAGAGCAGAATGGGGACAGCACGGTCAGTAACAGAAGATAAGTGAACTTAGAAGCAACTGTGTTGGGAGTTAGGATTACCTTGTTGACTGGCCTCCATAGACGACTGCTTACAGTCCTGTGCATAGTGGCCACTAACACCACAATTATAACAGGACACATTCCCATTCTTCTTGGGACCTGATCCATTAGTATTGGCAACTACATTTTGAGCTGGATACATAGAATAGAACCTCCCATATCCTGGCATTTGCTGCACACCATAGTTGGTTTGGCTCCCTATTACTGGGTCATGCATCATCCCATTTGCATACGGGCCCCGAGGCAAGTAAAACGGAATTTGTGTTCCATTGGTTTGATGTGCTTGGTTGAGGTAGCTACCATTGCAAAACGATGGAAGAGGGAAGATGGGTGAAACTCTGTAGACTTGTCCAGGAAGCGGGTTAGGATAATAGTAATTGTTAAGCTGAAGATTTCCATTGGTCCCACAGCTGCATCTGCGACCACAAGACCCACAAGGCCCAGACCCCAACTGCTGTGGAGACAATAGAGTGCCAGTAGCATTAGTATTTCCAACCGCACTAATATAAGAAGTGCTGTCACTCTGTGCGGTGCTGTGTGTTAAAGCAGGGCTTGGGCTGGGTGCAGGACCTGGTGTGTGGGTAGGTATTGCAGGAGGAACAGTAGGCTGGACCTGACTCACACACAAACCAGATGGTGGTGGTGGTGTTGACGCCACAGTATTCAGGACAGTTGTACTTTGATTGGGCAATACACTGGTAGCATGAAGAGTCACTGGTACAGTAAAAGGAGCTGGTGGAAGTGCTGTGGAGAGACCTGCTGCAGGAACAACTACTTTTAGACTGGGAGGCTGAGGGATCACGCCTGTGTTTCCGTCAACATGAGGCACCATTTGATTTAGGCCCATCATATGGGACGCAGGTTTGGAGACTGGATCTGTAGTAGGAACTGTGGATCCTGGGAAATTACCTGGGTTGTGCACTGAAATGAAGGCAGTGTTTGGTGATCCAATATTTAAGTTTCCCGTTTGCTGTTGTGGTCCACTAACTGCACAACTTTCGGATGATGCCTGTGAAGATATTTTCATTCTGTGTATTGCCAAGTGCAACGCAGGATTACCAGGTTGGACCGTGGGTGTAAGGAAAGTGGCTGGCAAATGGGAAGACAGAAGTTCAACATGTTTCTCAGATTCACCAGCTGAACCTATTCCAACAGGAGCTGAATTTGCAACCACCATTCCCAATGTTTTTCCATCAGCAGAAATGGGTGGTGGAACTACCGCTTCAGTCTTCTGTGCACCATTGAGCACCACGCAGTGAAGAGAAGGCATAAAAGAAATGTGTTGGAACTGCGAACTCAAGGGATCTTCTGCGATATTTTGATTGTCTGATCTCACTGAAATCTGTGCAGGTGGCTTGAGGTCTGCAGAACCATAACCAGTAAACCTCATCACATTTTGGTTTCCAGAATCTTCAGAATTGCTGTCTGTGTCTATGGAAAATAGGGCATCATTAAATAATCAAGTTTCTAAAACCCATCTTTCCCATGAGCAAGTACCACAAGGTGAATTCTACAGTAGTACAGGGAAAAAAGATTAAGACTCTAATTTACACTGATTTCAATTTCCCATTACTTGCTTACAGGAATCCATCGGTTCTGATGGCCTTATCCTCCATGGATGAGCTAATTTTTAAATGAGAAAGCTACAAAATAGTTATGTAGAGATACACAAAAACAATGTTTTCAAATCACTGAAAACAAAGTAAAATTTTTGAAGTAGTATTGAAAAGCCCAATTTTTAAAGCTTGTAATACATAATGTTAATGCTTGCATATCACAGCAATCACTGATACTTGTTAATTTACCCATGGGTGCTGTTGCATTATGCTGGGTGCCCACCCAGGGGGCAGGGCTTGTTTGATGGTTAGACAACCCTCAAATAATGTTTAAATAAGCCACGAGATAAAATGGAGGAGAGAAGGACTATTTAAGTTGCATTGGATTCCTCACAAAGGCAGGGTATAAATGTAATTTACTAAAAGTATTTCAGTAACCCACAAACAACCTCTGCTGCCTGGGTTTGCATGGCACAGCAAGCCAAAGGAAGCTGGATGTCTGGCACAATGCAACAGCCCATGTAAATAAATTAAGCCACAGTAGACTGTAATGTGTGAACTAAATTCAAACTAGAAGTTACATCAATCCAAGAATAGGCAAAGCAGATCAGAATCAGTATGGAAGAAGGGTTAAAGGCCCACCTCTGACAAAATCAATGTTCACATTATAAATTGAACTTACATTATAAGAAAAACATAAAGCAAGAGCTCTTACTGTTGAAGAGTAAAGATCTATTGATCTATAAGATAGATGTAAAGGATGTAACTAATTAGAATGGCCACCTGTTGATTTATGGGTTCAAAAGAAATGTTTGAAGCCACTCTGAACATGCTTACATAGCTAAGGAAATATAGTATTTAGGAATTTGCAAGGTTGATTGCATGCTATATTGTAGTATGATGCTCTGAACATTTCTGAAGAGGTACTGCAGTTTTTGCAAATATATTATTCATTTAGGGATGGGCTCCCTAGTAGGATCAAAGAGTGAATGTGGAATTAAGAGTAAGGCTCTCGCACCGTGCAGAGGATCCAGAATCTGAATCTTCTTGTAGAATTTATAACATACCAACTTGTTGTCACTATGGTTGCTAAGCCTATTCCTGGTGTCTAATACCTGGGTACACCAATCCAAATGACAGGAGAAGCACACTAAAGGAATTCTACATATTCATATTATTTTAAAATACACAAATCCAACCTCTGTCTTTTTCTTCTTCACTTTCAAAGCTTTCCCTTCCATCATGCCGTGGACTAGAAGGAGAACTGTAACTCTCTGAAGAGGTTTCTCCACATGTGTCATGTCCAACTACAATGTCTAAATTTGAATCTAGAAGAGATTTCACATCAGCAAGGTTACTGCTCAACACCATCAACTAGTATGCATATTAATGTGCATCTTTCTGTATCTTTTACCTGCTACCTAAACACCAAAGTGTGCAGCTCTCTGAACATAGTTCTACTTAACACTGTAACTTTCAAAACAATAATTATACTCTAATTGTTGAGGATGAAAACCCTTAAGACTGCACAAGAGTGCAGTTGCAATAACACAGAATCTATGAATGAGATTCCAAGAACTACATTAGATAAAGGAAACTTGAACATGCATGATGGGATTTTTGACTTCTATTCAAACAGCCAATCTTCCTTAACCTATAATAATTCACTTTGTTGCAACAACAGTGCGACTGAGATGTACAGCTCATGTTCAAGGATAAAAAAGCTTTTCTTGGGTGCATGATCAATGCATGATTATTTAGACTCTAGACCAGTGATGGTGAAGCTATGACATGTGTGCCACAGCTGGCAGACAGAGCCCTCTCTGTTGGCATGCGAGCCAAATTGCTCCAGCAGCCATGCGCATTCGGAAAGAGTAATGGCGTCAGGCGACAACGTCACTCATTAGCCACAACTCGCTGGAAGAGGCGTCGTTGAACAGGTGGTCAGAGGCAGGTGCACAAGGGAGTGGGCGAGCAGTGAATGGGTGTGCCGAGTGCTGGCAGTGGCGCCCTCCTCTGGCCTCCTCCTCTTCCCGGCCCACAGCATGTGAGCGGCCGCCCAAGCCGCCCTCCTAGTGCAGTGGCGGGACCCTGCCCACTCAGTAACTACAGGCGCAGCCAGGTAGCCGTGCGCCCGCTCCTGGGCTGGGCTCCTGCGCCGGTGGCTGCAGAGGGGGGAAGCTGGGTGAAAGGAGCGAGCGATGGGGTTGAGGTGGCAGACCAGCAGCTGGAGCAAGGAGGAGGAGAGAGAGGGTGCCCGGAATTGATATGGCACTTCCTGGGGAGGCAGGCCAAAACGAGGAAAAGTGGAGGATGGAACTGCTGCAAAGCGAGAGTAGTGGGCGTGTGGTGGGAACTCCCCTCTGCACCGAACCCCACTTGCCAAGGCCTGGCAGTGCCGTGGGAGCGCCTCGAGGAAGATTCCAAGTAAGTGTGGAAGGGATCAGCGATAGCCTCTCCTCACCTTTAGTTTAGGTATCTCTCCCCTCCATTCTGCCCCTCCAGTAAACTTTCAAGTGCCGCCGAAGCTCCTGTGGCATTCCCATTGGCTGGTTTGGAGGCAAGAATGGAGGGAGTGCGCGTGCCCAGGCGCAAGCAAGCCCGGCGTCCCCCAACTTGGGGGCGCTGAATGTGAACATGGCTTCTCTCTGTTATTGTGTTTTTCTTTTAAGACAAAAGATGCTAATGTATGGGTTGGTTTTTTTCCTAAACTAAAACCTCAGTATTCAGGTTTTATTGCAGTGTTGGCACTTTGTGATAAATAAGTAGGTTCTGGGTTGCAGTTTGGGCACTTGGTCTCTTAAAGGTTCGCCATCACTGCTCTAGCCCATGCAATTTTGGAAATAGTCTTGCTCATGAACTCTGAATACCCCCATCATACTGGCCTGGAAAAGAGTTGCACTGGCTACTGTTTAAGTATTGTCTCTACTATTCAGTAGAGACAACTCCAGAAACATTCTAGCACACTATTGAGAGAGTGAGCTCTTTTATCCTCTTTTGTCAAAAGGAAGTGGCATTATCATCTATAACTGTCTTAGGAGGGGAGAATGCCTTCCTGCAAAGTTCCTTCCAAAGTGCAAATTTTTCTTCCAGGAGCAAAGGAGGAAAAGGTGTGCAACTGCACAGATGAGAAGTTGCATGTAAATGACAGTTAAGCAAACTAGCTTGCTGACACATGGAAGAAGTGATTAAGAGGCACCAGGCTGTGAAGGATTACCCTGCCAAATGCTTTGCCAGCTCTCCAGAGTATGTACTGAGCATATTTGATGAGGTCAAAGATAGAGGCCAGACAGTGTGCCCTTCCAAGAGGTGTTTCTGCTAACATATGCAGAGGATACAATCATTCCTGGGGTAGCAAAACCTTTGACTCAACAGGGAATCACTTGCTTGCCAAGTTCCTAACAGATGTTTTATTACAGCAATCAGCATTCAGTGGGGTGCTGGAAATGGTAAAGAAATGCAGACAATTCTTAGGATTCACATACCAAACAAAAAGGCTCTTCTTCCTGAAATGCAATACCTACCAAACTAGAGCACTTCACAGATAGAAAGCACAAGCAGTCTCTGGGTTACGAACATCTGAGTTATGAACAACCAGCCATGAAGCCTATTACTTTAAAAAATACTGTGGAAAATACTTCCTTAGCATAGAGAGTAAGTGAAAGGGGAGAAAGGGAGGGACTCCAAAGCATCACCTTAGAGAAAGGAGATGCGAAAGGAGAGAGAGGGAGGCTTCCAAAGCATGCCTTCTTGCCATGCCCATCCAAGGGAAATCTCTCTGCCATTTCTTTGGTGCAAAGACGAAGTGCTGGTGAATTTGAAGGGGTGTAAGGACCAGAGATATTCCGAGTTTTTCCAGGGGTCCTGCACTCCTAACCCCTATGAATGTGGAGGACCAACTATATGGGATCTGACCTACATACAAACTCAACTTAAAAGATGAATTTCCATTTTCTCAGGAACTGAACTCATTCGTAACCTGGGATCTGCCTGTATGTGGAAGACATTCCTGAAATTAGAAATGATAACAAAAAGCAAAGGTAGCCATGCTGAACATAAGAAAGAAAATCCAAATTCCCTACTGGAGAAATACCTTTACTAGGCCAAATTGTAAGCAAGCTTTAGAGTTTTCCAGAATTTTTCCAGACAAGAAAGTAAACAAAGCAGGGTAGATGACAAAAAAGGTGGCCACTGGAAATCAGATATCTTTGAAAATCTAAGCAAGCTAAGTCATAGTATCTTTTTATGCATGCAAAGTAACAGGATTGAAAGCATAAGTACACTAGATTGCCTAGCTGATGTAAAAAATGTTATGTTCTATTCACAGGCTTTGATGCTGAAGAGGTAACAATCAATGTTGAACATGCCAAGATTGTAGTCACTGGGCAAGTCTGCTTGATGCAGCAACTCACCTTGTAAATAAGCTACACAGTGTCTGGGTTGTTCACAGAACATGGTATGCCAGATATTTAACTGTGCTTTCCATGAGCTGTTCTTCCCCTTCTATCCCCAACAGTCTTCCAGCTGGTATTCCAGGTCTTGTATGGCAGAACCCCTCATCTCACCCTTCCTGCTACAAATTTGGTGCATCATTTTTTGTCAATGGCCTGGGACAGCAACTCCACTGATTCCCAAGCAATGCGTTGGAGCATTCCTGGCTCATTATCCTTTTTTTTAAAAAATGGGGGGGAATGTATGCATATATCTTCATTATTTTTTCCAACAATTTTCAGTATAGCTGTAATACACACTTTAAGTCTGTTAAAAATGTGTGATCTCACCTGTTCTCTTACCTTGTCAGTTAACAGCTAGCAAGAGTAAAAGGTGAGCTTGCACATAAACTACACTGCAGACAGCTGCATTTTGTCAGTTGCCTAGCTTCAACTGGAACACACCAGTAAATAGTGAAGGTCAGTGCATCAAAATCAAGTGGGCTGTAGTTTTCTCCATTAACAAGGTGACTGTCTGGTTTTAGATGTTGCACTGACACTTCTTATAGCCTTCCACCTTTGGGACATTTCTTACATTGTACAGCTACTAAAGAAAGAAGAGCACCCACATGTTTGGACAATGAACATAACAATTGTAGCTTCAAACAAACAAGCTATTCTGAGGGAAGTAGTCTGGGTTTGGATGGCATGGCATTACACTATGGACTGTTCTGCACAATTGGTGGTTGTGCTGTGGGAACTCAGAAATGGCAAGTTCTGGAACTAGTTATTTAGATCAAATGTTTGCATTTATATTACAGAAGTAGTGGATGTCAGGAACATTGCATCAAGAGGCAGAGATAGTGGAACTGCTATTATATGGTGGACATTTATTGCTTCTCAGTGTAAGAGAGACTCTTTGCTGAATATCATCAATACTGGCCAATTCTTTTAGAGGAAGATGCAGTAACCACAAAATGCTTTCTCCATGCTTTTCTAGAAACATGACTGTTCTTTAGACACAAGATTCACACTGATCTGTTCTAGAGCATTGTTAAGTCTTACTTAATGAAGGGTATTTCATAGTCCCAAGACATGATACCCGTTTTTCTAATCAAGAGCGGCAAACATGCAGTAATGCATAGATCATAAAGCAATGGGTCAATCAGAACAGGAGTTTCTTTCTAAGTTTATCAGGTCCATAATATGAGGGGTAAATCCCATGAAATTCAGGAATTCTCAGTGCAGAAACCTAGAGATAGAATCCACACAGGAGTATCTGTTTGAATTATCATCTTGCTGTACATCCACTGATTGGTTGCCACTTAGGGTTTGACCTATAAGTAGATGTGGGGAGTAAGATGGATGGAAGCCCCAGCAAGGGTTAACTCAATAATCTATGTGCTGTTAGTACTTAAGGTCCCAGGAAAGTGGTGTGAAAAAGTAGCAAAGTGACAACAATCTATTTGATGAATTGAACGAACTGTCCAAGAGACACTCTGCATAACAGATGTGCCTGATTCTTTCAGTTTTGCTCTCTGGAAAGGATTATATGATCTGACCAGTGCAACAAGAGAGAATTTGAGAAAGGCAATCTGTGGTCCCTCAGAAATTGGCCTACAACATTCATGGTCACACACTCCTGGCTAAGTTGGTCAGGGCTGACAGGAGTTGTGGGTCAATGTGTACAGACCACCACAAGTCGCCTAATCACTGGAATGATTCAAGTGTTCAAATCTGTTAAGGTTCTGTTTTTGACTGACTGGAATTCCTAGTGGACTCTTAAGTAGGCTACAAATTACAAACCAGATCTTCCAAATACACAAAATCAACTAATTCAGAAGAAGAAAAGGCTCACGGAGAGGATTAATGCAGTGGCTCCTTCTGGGACTCCTAAATATAACCTCTAGATATGTTGGGTTGAATCCCATCATCCCTGGCCAGTATGGCCACTAGGTTGGGGAACTATGGTGATTTTGAACCTCACTTAGTTGTGGATGCCTTGAAAGCGGATGACTGGAGTTGGAGATTTTAGTGAGACTCAAGGGTGAAACTGTAATAAAACATAGCTCTGAGTTAGTATGCAAAGCTATGGTGACCACTAGTGCCTTTTTCCAGGGTTAGGCTGCAAGTGCATTACCAGTTTTATCAGGCTTATTGAGTTTTTCCTGTGAAAGCATACTATGTACACTATTCCCCATTTTCGAGAAGGCTGGTAATCAAACACTGGTTCTTCTAAAAGGAGTACTTTTTCTCTACCTATTTGATCCCTACGGCACTTTTTGAACATGCCACAGGCACAGTGGTAGATGGATTACTGATAAAACAGGCTTTTATCCTCTTAAATAGAAAAAAGTAAAAGGAAGGGCTCTTTATTTAAGAAAAGCCTCCTTATTTAATCATTAACAAAAACAGCTGAATAGTTCACTAAGATCCCTCTCAGTATGTTCCCTGAGCCTCTGCAGCATTAGTGCTCAGAAGAATATTGGACCGGATGGAATTCATTTTCTCCTTTGAAGCTTACACAGATAGTACAAGAACTCCACTGGAGTTGAGGGAAATGAAAAGCAGTTTCCTGGGTGAAGTTCTTGAACCATCCCAAATTGGCTCTGTACAGGTGCAGTACCCATATGTAGAACTAATGACACAAAGACTATGAAGAAGAAGAACCTATCAGTACACATTTTACTGACTGAAACTAGATTTTGATTAAGAAACATCTCCAAGTGGAGTATTTCTTATCTTGCTTCTGCACTCCTAAACACAGTACACTGCATATTGAATGATTACATTGCTCTGTATAATTTAACACAGGATTTTAAAGAAAAGCTCCATGGTACTAGTAGAGTCTCTTAAGTAAGTTTCTTACCTTTTAGTATTCCAGGGTGAAGATTGTGAGCATCTGCAACTCTTACGCAGTTCGTTCTGATAGCTAACCTGGTGTCAGGTCTCTTTACTTTATCTCTGTGCAACAAAACAAACATTTGTCAAAAGGAATGGATAATTTTCTCATGGTAAAATTAGGTATATCATTAGGTTCAAGACAAAGCAATTCAGGGAAAGAGGCTGTGTAGGGCAAGACTTAAAGCACTAAAGCTACTTGTTTAATATCACTACTGTGATCACTATAATTATATTAATGTAATACATTAAAATGAATTACAACATGTATTTATATATTTTATGTGTCCGGAAACCATTAATTAGCCTACTAGATAGAAAGTCGGCATCTGTGCACCATGAATACACAGCATTAACTTTGTTGTGAGTCTGGCAAATGAAGGTTGTTCTCTCATATCTTAAGAGGTGAGGTACATGTTCCACTCCGCAAAAAAAGTTTCATCTACCACCAGCAGGTCCCTATACTGGTAGACTAACAGGATCTATTCCAGAGACCTTCCGTCCTAGGGAAAAGGGAAGTACAAATGAATATTCTGTCTGACTATTCACAGGCCCTCTTGGACAGAACAGTGAATTACAGTATTACTGGGGCTCATTTTATTATTGTGGTAGTTGCATTGCTTTTCTTTTTTAATTTCCTCCTTCCACATGCCTTTTTAAAAAAGCAGCAGTCACACCCATTATCACCTGTGGTACAGCAGCTACTGGCTGGGCTGTGTGTATGGGGGGGGGGTGACTTACAAAAGAGTAATGCCCATGCAGGAACGCATAACTTATGTTTTCTCAGGATGCTATCACTGAGCAGCAGCAGGAGGATCAACCTAGTTGTCTCTAGTTTGAGAGAATATATGAACCAATTTTTGAGAGTCAGTGTGGAACAGTTTATATATTTATTAGATTTATATCCTGCTTTTTTCTTTCAATGAACTCGAAACAGCTTATATTCTCTTCTTCCTGCTCTCAAACTTATTCCCACAACAACCCTTGCCTGCCCAATCAATCAACAGCCTGAAATGATGCTTCTGCACATGTTCAGAAATAGCATTCCCTTACTATGGAATGCGCTCCCCAGAGAGGTCTGCCTGGCGCTGTCATTATATGTTTTTCGGCGCCAAGTCAAGACCTTTTTAGTTAATCAATATTTTAATATGTTTTGATATTGTAATTTATTGTTGTATTTTATTAACTTGCAGCCAGAGTGGGTTGTCAGTTTACTTATGTTGTAAGCCGTCCAGAGACGCAAGTAATTGGACGGCACACAAATTTTACAAATCAATAAATTTCAAGCTGTGAAATAACTTTGCTTGAAAAGCCTCCTCTCCCTTATACTGCACCCTCTTTTTCAAAGGCAGAAATATATAAAGAGCCCATGAACTTGTTCAGTTTATTTCAACCTTCAATTTAACTGTTGATTCACTGATAGAAATCAGTGGTTGAAAAAGTTCTGCGGTCACCCTTTGGCAAATACTGTAAAATACACCCAGTATTGCAAAGGAATATCAGGAAATTCCTATGGAATTTGCCAAAGGGTGGCCACAGAACCAAGACACCCATTATTTTTAAAAAAACCAAAACCACGATAATTCAAGTGTTTCTAAGTGCAGCAGGCAGGCACCAAAGCCCAACTGTTATTGAAATTTTTAAGAAATCCCAACCCTGACCCTATGTTCTATTTAGTATATTTGTAGCTCCTCACTTTCCCCTCACCACTCAGTTTGTCAATCTAAAATTGAAAATGAAAAAAACCACCAACTACTACTTTAATTCTTTAAATGCCCCTGAAAGGGTTCACTTTTCCATTAACAGAAATTGGCACACTTGATTCTACTTATAATAACCATTTTTCCACTAAACAGAAACAATATTTAATTTCTTTTAAAAGTGAAATTAACACCTACTTTTCTGGTTGTAGCTTTCCTTTTTTCTTGCTTATTACAGGCAAGCTCCTCTTCTCCCCTGTGTGCTAGACAATAAAATAGTAGATGAGAAGACTTCCATATCAAAGCCCAAATAAATTCAACAATTTCACTTTGGCCAAAGGAACAACATGAACATTTGGTAACTAAGCATTACTTGTCGAAAAGTTAACAATTTAGAGTAAGGCTGACAATGGGAAACCACAAAGCAAGCTGTAGTCCCCCTCCTTCTGTGCAGCCCTTAAAATCCACTGTGCTGCTTTTTGAGTAGCCAAGTTTGGTGCTACTATTTTCAGGGCAGAGTTTGTTTGTTTGCACAATAAAATGTGAGGTAAACAGTTCAGTCATAGTCTTATGTGCACAAATAGTTTAGAATTCCAGTTATCGCTGTATGTAGTTAATAAACCACTGTAACAGTTCACATTAATTCCTAGTTATCTGAGCAAAACTCGAATTAATTTGATATTGAAAAGAGACACTAAAGCACTGAACCAGTATGATTTTAAATTATGTTAAGCCATTTACTTGGCACCTCAAATTCCAGTGAACCCCAGTCCCTACATAATCCTCTCAAAAGCACGTAGAAGCTGTTTGCAACTTGGCAGTGCTCACCCAGAATCACCATTTGAGGACTGTTGTTGTGATAAATCTCCCTCTCAGAGATACCAATTCTCTCTTCCAAGAGCCTGGAAGGTGGGATGGTGATCACACAAACTGAACTCTCAATTTCACATAGAGTGGCACCATCCAGTCTAAAAGCAGCACAGCAGAGGCTTACATACTTATTTTTGATGCACCACTGCTTTGCACTCAAAGTCAGATAACGAGTAGCACTGCTCAAGTCAAACATCACACCCTAATTATGAAGTGTTAAGTGCCCTTCTTTGAAAAAATGCAAAAGCTCCAGAAACCTCTGGGTCATAATTTCACTTCAAGTCCCCTACCCCCATGCCCTTTCTTATCAAATAGCCCCAAGTACCTCCAGCTCAGCTCACAAGTTGTCCACCCCCTCTTTAAGTTGTGAAAAACAATGCAGCTAATTATCAAAACAAACCGCTATAGCTAAAATAAAAAGTATTAAAGTTAAGCCCATGAATTAAGTAAGACTTGGAAGCCACCATGTCTCCCAGTATGAAGTTCTGTTGTCATTAACTAATATGCACTTTCTGGTATGAAAAAGTAAAATACCTGGTCAAGTAATGTGCAATGCTCTGGATGCTGCTGAAGAGCACAACCTTTTCTTCTCCAGTCTGCCACACCATTGAGTTCAGAATGTGTTGTGTCAAAGCCATCCAGTGAAGAACATTTTGAATTAACGATGCTGTTATAAAGATATGTAAGATTCTGTGACTCTTCAGCCTTGAAAATCCATTCAAGGAAATCAAAATGCACTGTTTTCAAGCCACTGGTTTCTGCTGGATTTCAAAGCCCACGTTTCTGGCTACAGCTTCTTTTCTAGCACAAAATGGCGAACACCACTAATTTGTTCACTTGGGACAAGTAGCAACTGCCTAAATCCAACTATATAATATCTATTTCAGCACAACTATTCCGCCCCTCTGCCCTTTAACTGTAACGATCTGGCAAGCTAGTAGCAGCCCACATAATTTCTGGTAGTCTTAATGAAATGGATTAGCAAACGTGTAAGAAAGTATGTGTGCCTCAGTGGCACTGTTGTGTTTTGCTCGACTAAAGAATGTTACAGCCAAACTAATATGGGCTGCCACGGCAGGGATGGCCCAGAAGTCATGCTGAAAAGATGAAATGCTGGGTGTTGAGACAGGTGCGGTGTTTTCAAGCACTGGACAGACTCAGGCACTCAGCCACAGCTGTTAGTTGCAAAGCTACGGCAGCATACTAGTTCACTCTAGATTTTCCAACATCATTTGCTCATGTTAATTATTCCTCAAATGACTCTGTTTCAAGCTGCTTGAACCGATCTATGTAGAAGGTATGTACTGCACTGATTTCCCCTCCCTGCTGAAACTAGAGACAGATCCACAAATTAGCACAAGTTTTATATTCGCATTCACAGCCATTCACGCCAGACGCTCAGTTTTACTACTTTTTCATTCACCTTCTATGTCAAATACCAAGTTAAGATCACAGCTGTGTGTGACCACCAAGATCACAGTGCAATGCACCGCAACCTAGAACTCCCCAGCTATGTCTTCCCTATATTGATTTATTCCCCTTCATTTAAATCCTAGGTTAACATGTGACTTTCTAAGCTCCTGACAGGAATCAAAGTATCAGATGAAATTGTTGATATCAGAAAAGAATAACACATAACTTAAATTTAACACCTACTTGGCTACAGGACATTTCCCATTATGTTTCTTATGGATCACTGTGTGCTGTATCATTTCTGGATGGGGGAAAAACATTGATTAAATTAGCTATAATTAAACCAGAAATCCTCCTCCAAACTGAATTTTAATCCCAAGAGATTACAGAGAAAGACCATCTGTTAAGGCCTAGCATCTGTTGCCTTCCTTGCACTGTGAAATATCTTAAGAACAGAAAAGCCACGACACTTGATCAGACCAAAGGTCCATCCAGAAGTGTTCTGTTCACAGGAGACAATGAGCTGCCTGTAGGAGCTCTACAAAGCACAATAGCATCTCCCTAACTTAGCTCTACTTTTCAAGCTTTCAGGAGAAGCTGAGGAACTTTTCCTTCCAGCTGGCTTCTCAAGCTTAGGACCAACCTTTTTACCTGTCTATTCTTGCTACTTTTTTGAAAGTACTGCATATGTATTGCACATATTTTATATAGACTGTTTATTGGAAGATGCTTTGACTTCCAACTTTGCTATGCTTTAGAGCAAAAGCAGCTTACAGAGGGACCCAGAGTCACTACAACAGGTCCTGTCCTGCCTGGCCATACACTGTATAAGTGGCTATGGAGTAAGAAAGTGGTTGAAGTGCCTTCAGGTGCCTTCATCTTAGTTCATTTATGGCTTTAAAGATCCAAACTAACATCTGAATTAATCTTGGAAAGCAACTGGGAATGAGAAAACTTAAAATTGAGAGAGATAGAGGCTCTGTGCCCCAGTGCCTTTATTGCTGCTTTTGGGGCAGGAAACTTCTAAACAATTTTCAAAAGCAGGCCCAAACAGAGTGTATTACATTAGTGTAATCTTCTGTGTTTTGTTAGACTGAGCTTATTGGCTCTTCAAGTCTATCACCAAGTCTAGATACTGGCTCAAAATCCCATCTTTTCTTCTAGAACTTGGAATGAGAAATCCAGAGAAAGAACTGGGCATTATCAACATACTGATTAATACATTCTCCTGAACAACTTCACAAGTGGTTTCATCAATGTATTAGTAACATGGCAGATAGGGTAGAACCTTGCAGGTTTTAACTGTAAGGGTGGAGAGGTCTTCAGGCAGCACCTTCAGGAATGATCAGAATTATAGTGATTCAGTGCCCCAGTTGTGGAGGCATTCCGAGATGAAATTGAGAACTTTACTGCACACTCTTTGTGGTTGCTCTGACCAAAAATTACCACATTTCCATGACATGATAACCCACTGTAGGTGACAAGCCACACTGAATAGTCATGTTGAGCAGACCTGGACTGCATCCACTAGAGTGGCTTATTCATGAGAATAAAGCAACCCTGACAATCCATGGCTTCTTCCAGGGGTTGCTGAAGCCACAATGGAGTGTCATGTCCTCTGTACCCGGGCAACCAAACTCAACATGTGCTGTTATAAGCAGTGACTGAGTCATTTGGCAGATTGGCATTTTTTTCCCCAGGCTTGCTGGGCTCACGCAGACCACCACCAGTGACAGCTGCCACTCTAATGCATGAGAAGCACAGTGGAAGGACTGCCCCAGCTCTGTGTCCCCCACAATCACAAGCCCTGCTTCACTCACCATGGCTTTCCCCCACTTTCCGTTCTCCTTTTATAGAAATTCCCTTTCACTATTTCCAAGTTGACAGTCCCTCCAAGTTGACAGCCACCCCTCCTTTAAAAGAACAATTGACCAACTGATCAAACAAATTAAAGAAATTTGCACAATTTTTTCAACCATTTTAAATTTAGCTGGGGTTCCTTTTAAAAAGGGTTTTTATAGGGCTAATCAGAGTATTTTGATAAGGACACATAGATATATATATAATTCTGTGTCCCTGTCACTAAGTCCTGGGTAGCCCTGGCAAAAGTTGCATTTTAAAAGGAAGTCTGGATTTTGACAAATGTCAAAACACTATATTCCCATATAAGGAGTGGCTCATACTTTTCCACTTTCCTGAGAACAGTGCCTTGGGAGAGAATGGCAAAATGAGAGAACCTTGTCCAGGGATGGAAGATTTCTACTGGCCTAAAGTTATTCAGCTATTCCAGGTCAAGGGAGGGTTTTTTCAGAAGTGGTCTCCCCACTGCCTCTTTAAGACTGCATGGGAACACCCCCTGTTGCAAAGAGACGTGAATCACCCCCTTGACCTAGCCAGTTATTCCTTCCTTGCTGGCTTTTATAAGTCGGGCAGGCCAAGGATCCAGTATAGAGGTGGCTGCAGAGAAAAGAGTTTTGTGGAAAAGAGACAAGCCACTAAATTCTGTGGGATATGACATAAAGGACTGAGGGAAGAAGGGGCAACCTCAGAGACCAACCCATTGTTTGTTATTCACATGGCAGATTAGTATGATGGACAAATGTGCCCAGTGTGTACACTGTATACTTTGTGGCATGTGCAACTGCTACACAGTCAAAATAAAGACACTTAGTATCTGAGCAAAATAGTATGTTATCCCCAAAATTTGCCTCAAATATTTTTATGAGAAATATGCTTTGGTGTGTCATTTCTTAATAGCTTTTTATCCCTGATGCTCTGTGCTTTCACAAAAACAAGAATACTACAACGACAACCCCAAAATCTTACTACTTACCTTCCTCCTGACTTGAAGCTTCTGAGCTGTCCTCTTTGAAAAGTTCTGGAATTTTAGATGTCTTCAGAGTAGACTGGAAGTTATCTGAAAGTTAACAGTGAAAAACTTCAGCAAAAATGCAATTAGAATAGCTAGACAGGTTTACTGAAAATTATGAAAAAGTAGAAACTATGGCAAATTGAGCATAGTTTGCTGCTAACTGCATTAATCTCTTAATTGCTAATGCTGGACTAATTTTGTATGGTGCAATACAAGAAAATAATATATTAATGGATAACCATAGATAACAATAGCTAAAATTACATTTTCCTAACAACATCTTAAGCTGATAAGGAGCTGATAAGATGGCTCTATGTTTGGAATTTTAAAAGTCTTTTACCTTGTTCATTTTGATAGGGCCTTCAGCCTAATTCAATAAATTCTAATATGTTCCATTACTAGGCCATCTGCCTTCGGTATTAATTTCATATATTCCTATTTACTGATCCACCTGATTTTCATTCAAATCAACACATGCAAGTATAAAATTCTGAAAACCTTTCAGATACATCAGTTTACAGCTTATGTTGACAACTGAATAATTTTGGAAAACATAAAACTACAGGTCACAAATCACCCTGGAAGTACATATAGATAATTCCGTATCTTTTCCATTCCAATTCCTCTTAAATTAGAACAGCTCATTCCAATGTACCTACCACTGGAAACAGATCCATTTGAATAATGAAACAGTAGTTTTTGAAAGCCTCTAACTGCATTTCTGCATATCCCCTCAGATCTTTGCACTTGGCTGCCAGAAATGAGAAGCTCACTGCACATTTTAATGCAAGTTTTTAGTATACATGAAATAGCACCCACTGAAGAAATGGCTGCTTTCTAAGGCGTTCAGAAGTAAGTACATAATCATCAAGAATCACCCAAGAGTTAGAACTCTGGTTTGGGCTCTAAAGAGATGTGGTAGGCAGAACCCATTAACTGTGCCGATAAAGTACATGATTGCATTTACTAAAGCCAAGTACCAGATGCTAATAAAATATGGCTTTAAGTAGAATATGCCCTGTATTGTTTGTTAACAAAAGGCATAGATCATGTGAGGCTCTCAAAATATTGCTGGACTGCAACTCCCATCACTGGCTATGCTAGCTAGAGCTGATGGGTATTGCAGTCCAAGAATATCCAGAGGGCCACGTGTCCCTCTGTGTCAAGGGTGGGAAATAAGGGCTTTCCACCCATAGCATTCAAAATATGTGACTGTACCCAATGGAAGGCATTGTGTCCAACTGATCTTCCTCTTCCCTGCACAATCCTCCCCCAAATTGTAGGCAATTCCATCCTCCTACTGCAGTCTTGCACCAACCAACCAATGGTTTGGGAACACTCCCACCTCTGCAGAAAGTTTTTGGGATACAGGTGGCTGAAGGTGGAAAGCAGAAAGAGTGTCCACACAAATTGCCTTCTGCTTGTGCAACCACTGGATACAACACAAAACAGCTATCCTCAGACCGATGTGGTGAATATTTGCCAACGCATACTGGCTGATCTACAATGCAAGTCAAAGTGAATAATTTGGATTTAACTCTCAGTCACTGAAGACAATGCCAAGGTCTTTTAAAATGAATCAGTCCATTTGATTCATTAATCACTGCAGGTGAGTTCATAATACAATTATAAAAATTAGAAATTGCTTACTGTGAGCATGCAAAGATTCAGAGGACAGAGACTGAAAGAAGCTGTTTACTCTCTGATTCTGCAGAAAAGCTTGTGATGTAGTTGAAAACAGCTGCCTAAAATATATGGAAATACATTATATTTTTTAAAATCCAACCAAGGTTAATTTGAGTTGTTACTTTTTCATTAACTTAACAAATACTTCAACTCAAACAAGTATATGGCAAATGTGCGAGTAAGTCCCTAAAAGCAGGACCAGTTAACAGTTAACCTGACCTCATCCCTTTCCAATCCATACCCTATTTGGGGTGGGGTGCAGAGGGAAACAAATTCTGCCCCCAAAAAAGGACAGCTTCATACATTACACATTTGGCACCACATATACACATAACAGACAGCTAAAGTATATTCCAAGGAATACACATATGAATATCTGTTACATGCACACTTGATACTGGCTCAGGCTGAATGAAACTAAGATTTTGGGAGAGATCAGGCTTGCTCGCCAGAAGAGGAAGATTAGTCTTTCCTACTTCTGTGCTCTGAGCATTTTTGTGTCAGATAAAACATCAGTTCCACATCTCTGAAATTACCTTCTCCCCAAATGCTTTCTTTGACTTTCTGGCTTTTAAGGAATCCCGAATATTTTTATTCTGTCAGACACTTGGTCAAGGTTAAACACTGGCTCTCATTTAACGCTTTGGTGTGGTTTTATGAACCTGAATTGTAGTTTACTGTATTGTTTCTAAACTAATAAATCTGTAGAGTGCCAAAGAGAATGAATTCTAATACACTACAGTGCAACCTGCACTGCTCTCCTATGGGTTGAACAGCATGTGGTTTAGGTCCATGAACATGGGTTGTACATGTGCACGTTGCAAGTATTGTATCTAAGCCACCTGGTAGGTGATAATGGAACTACTATGCCCCAAAGGGGAGGCAAGAACAATTCTATACATATTCTTATGCACTTTCAGCTGAATATGAAGTTTAGGGGTACAGTTTTACACATGTGTAAAATGACTCTGCCATTCCCCCAGGGATTTTTGTTAGTTTATCCCTGAGTAGAAATACATAACCAGGAATATGGGAACTACCCTGTAGGCAACTCCCATGTGCACTACTAAGCCACCCCTCTAAGTTCCTGATATTTTAAGCTAATCTACACCAACTTGAATCCTGCAGGTGTTTTGAACCAAAACTACCTGTATTCCTGATCACTGGCTCTCTTGACCAGGGCTGATGGAAAGTGGGGGAAACTATTTAAAGCAATTACTGCTCTCTTGTTTAGCACTGCTCTTCAAATGAAGAATAGCAATATTTTTCTTCCCCCCCTTCAAATAAAAGAGTGGGAAGATGAAACCCAACACTCAGAATTCTGTAAATATTAGTTTGAGTTGAAAGAAGTAGCTACAGATATACTAGCTCACTGATTTCTTACTTATTGCCCAGTATGCAAAAGATCCCTTGTTCAATCCCTAGCATTTCCAGGTAGAGCTGGGATAGACATCAACTGGAAACCCTGAAAAGCAGTACCAGTTGATGCAGATAATACTGAAGTAGATCAACCAATAATACAATCTGGTATAGGGAAGCAGTCTATGTAGATCTCTAATTACATACACAATATGGAAACTACAAAAACAAGTCAAATTAAGTACTCCAGTAATAAGAATTTTATTAATTGCTCAGAGTTTTACCTTATCATAGGTTCTAAGTCTGGGTGTCGCCTTTCTTCTTGCTTCTGGAACCCTTGATTTAATGCTCCTAAAATAGTCTTGTCAAATGCTTCTGAAGAAAGATCCTTTGGAAGCTGATAAGAGGCATAATGTTAATTATTGGCAAATAAAAGAAATCTCTATTAAGGTAGTCATAAAAAAGTATTTGAAACTGCAAGATCTATTTCTTATTGTATCAGCACTACCAGACCATCCCTCTTTCCTGACAGAAATACTCATGAGCTTTTTGGTTTAGATAAGAAAAAGGTGTTAACATAGTTAGCAAGCAATCCTACAGACAGTACCCTTACTGACTGCAAGTCCCCAGACTGGAAACTTCCAATCAGGCAATGTAGGGCAGGGGCTGGAACAGGGTCATCTTTGTTCCCTTGTCCTCCCACCCTGTATTTTTCAATGGATGGGCTTCTTTCCCCCATTTCACATTGGCACTGCAGCAGATGAGGCTGAATAGCTCATACCTAGCCTCTACAGCCTCTTTCCTATCCTGCCACCAAACTGTTCTCCAAGGTGACTTCAAACCTCAGAGAGCAGCCAGTATGGTTCTTCCCATGTGGTCTGCATGAGGAGTCAAATTTCCACCTGTTCTTCCCACATTCATATGTTCTGGCCTCTCAGTTAATAATGCCTATGTCCAGAGACCTTCCCTTATGCCCTTAGCCATTCTCTAATAGAAGGTAGATCTCTTTTTATACAAGGAAGAAGCCATCATACTATGCATACTGTGCAATAGTTAATTGTACTTGATGATCTATGCTAGAAGTAGTTTTGAGGTTTTTCCCATTTTTTTCCCCTGTGGAAGACCAGTAACCCATGGGAAAGGTGAACTGGGAGCATTATCCCGAGGTAGACTGCACTACCTTCTTCTGCTCCACTTCTCTATTCTTTCCCAGGCAGAACGGGAGCCAGCCTAAATGGTGCACCACTTTATATACAAAAGCAGCCAACTGCCCCTGCTTCTTCTCCTTTTCACACGAGCTGGGACACCTTTCAAAACACTTGGTTTTCTCTTTATTTCCTTCTATTACTATGCTTCCCACACATTTTTATCGTGAACTAGCCAAAGTTACAATGAACAAGAGCACTGTTAATTAACTTGACTTTTTATAAAGATTGGTTTCAAGAATTTATGAATACATTATTAGAAAATTATTACAAATTTCCTAAGAGCATCAAGAGATGTCACCTTCGTATCAGCTATACTGTGATGAAAAATAGTGACAACTAACACTTTTAATCTTATAGTGATCACCAAATTGATAATTTCTCCCTACATCACAATCAGTCAAAAACCAGTTCAGTTACAAAAGAGAAATGCCCCTACCTCATCACATCATGATTCCTATACCATGGAAAACTCTTTTCCAACTGTCATTAAACTTGCATTCACAATACAGATGTCTCCTGTTTTGTAATAAATATCTCTACAAGCTCTCACATTCCATGCTATCATCCTTTCTCCAAAGCCCAAACTGCTTTCTTATGGAGTGGCTGAATACAACTGAGCCATGCACCTATATACTTATAAATGAAACAAGGAACATTTATCTAAAGGTACAGTTGTTATTACTCATCAATTTGAAATCACTTTCTAGCTAATCTTATTAAAGTGGTCTGCACTGTGTAATAAGCACCAGCTGTCGACCTTCATATAATTCCTGTCACCTTGGTTCACACAATATGACAAATCCTACAGGTAAATGAAATAGCAGACTGTTAAGAAAATGAAGCTGAGTTTTCCGGTCATGTGAACAAGGTAATCGCTGGATCGACAACTTTTTGGGTAAAACTTACTGATCCAGCACTGAAACTAGCATTGTACTTTTAAGATACCACACTGTAACTAGTTGCCTATTTTCATTATTCAATTTCTTTTGAATACTTACTTTTAATAGAAATTCCTGAAGTTCCTGGTGTGTTTTTGTTACGTATGATGTAGAATGATCTGACCAAATCACCTGATCAGAAAAAATAAATTATATAGCAACACTTAGTTCTCACAGACTAGCATGATACATTTTATACTACTGGACCATGGAATATGGTAGATGCTGCTGCTGCATCATAATCTTATTCATGTTTCTATACCATTCAATATATGAGAACAGAGAGAGATGCAACTTTGGATCCCATTCTAAAGCTGGCTTATTTCAGATTTACCTTCTAAACCTGGCATACTGAAATAAATTCCTTGAAATATGCACCAAGGACTGAAAGTCTTTATATATGCAGCAAGTAGTTGAAAATAATAAAAATCAGGGAACAGAAAACACTGTTTTTACCAGTTTTAGAATATTTTGGAGCTTTGGCATCAAGCTGGCATTTTCAACAATATTTTGAAGTTTTTACTACTGCAACAAAATATATTTTGTTGCTGTTGTTTGTCGCGAAGTCATGTCCAACCCATCGCGACCCCATGGACAACATTCCTCCAGGCCTTCCTGTCTTCCACTATCCCCCAGAGTCCACTCAAGCTCACACCAACTGCTTCAGTGACTCCATCTAGTCACCTCATCCTCTGCCGCCCCCTTCTTCTTTTGCCATCTATCGTTCCCAGCATTTACAAACTGCTAAAATAACTCAAGAGCTGTCATTTCTATGTAGGGTCCAATTTTGTGAATCTATGCACTGCTCATCATTGCTTGATCAGGTAAGGTATTTTAACCAGATTTTATCTATGCAGTAGTACCCATTTACTTTTATATATCCTGAAGCTGCCCAATATCTTCTCTTGCATCTTACTTTGCACTCAAGAAAGCTTTTACTGATGCTACCATTTTAGTGTATATTAGGCCAAGTTTCCATAAGCTTTGGCTAGGCTTGATTGCCATGCATTGTTCTTATTAGCTAGCAAAGCCCAGCTTCTTTGCTTCCAGCAGTACTGAGCCAAAATATGTATGACCCATTTGTACCTACTGAAAGTTGGAATTACAGGTAAGAAATGACGGGCAAAGTAGTACATGTGTATCGCAAACAACCCCTCCCCTCCAATCTGCAACACTAAAGTACTGTTAGTTTGTGGGTATTCCTGCATACTTCTGTCAGTCCCCAGGTGACTTTGGTGGCTCACAGCACCCGTTATCAACTTCAACTGGAACAACATCATCATCTGTTCCTGGACAGAGAAAGCCTAACCACTGTGGTTCATGCATTGGTAACCTCATGATTGGATTACTGTAATGCACTCTCTGTGGAGCTGCCCTTGTGCCTGGTTTCAAAGCTGCAGCCAGTGCAAAAAGTAGCCCTTAGTGTGCTTGGTCAGGCAGCCAAATATACTCACACCCATGCTAAAAGAACTGTACTAGCAGCCTATTATTTACTGAGCTACGCTTAAGGTTATGCTGTTGGCAAACAATGCCCTAAAGAACTTGGGACCATGACACCCAGCAAACTTCCTGCCCCTATATATAAGCAGTGGACCTTTAAGATACTCAGAGGAGATTGTTGGTCCTTTTGTGATCAACAGAATGTTGGCAGGAACAGCTACGAAGCAGGATTTCTCATTGGAATACACTCATAATGGCAGTTTGCAAGAAAGAAATTGGTTTAAAACCTTCCTGTAAACAGTTAATCAAGCAGGCTTTCACTGGCTTGCACTTAATTATGATACTGCTCTGTTTCATTTGTTTGTACTGCTCTTACAGAAACTGCTTTTAATAGTGTATTTTAAGCTTTGATTTTTAATGTTTTTATATGTAAAGCACTTAGAAATTTTATTATTAAGTGGCACTTAAGTATTAAATAAAACAAATACTGACAGAACACAAGAGGGAGCCTGATGTCTTTTTACAAAGCACAAAAGAAAACCTGAAGCCATTTTGAATGAGCTACAGTGCCTCCCTGCATAGCCTACAGCTTTTAAAATATTTTTTATTCTTCTGGTAGAGTACAGAGGTTGCTTTTCCTGGAATTCTCATTGGTACAAAGCTCAGTACAGCAACATACACCATTCAGAAGTAGTATCAGTTACAAGCAACTCACCTTATCTATAATGTTAAACAACACAGAGATCTAACTTCATGCTATTAGCATCAATCTGAAATAGCTAGACTATAGGCATGCTGAAAACTAGCTTTTGCGAAAGTGCCATGAGTGTGTTGAACGTTTCACACCCACTGCTAAACTATGATTTAGTGCTATGCACATAAGTGGAAGGCAGTCCAAAGACTTTTCTTCCCCCTCATGGCTGGAAGTACAAATAAATCAGGGATTAGTTTAATTTTTGGCTTGTCATTACACATTATGGAAATGTGGTTTAAGATAAACTCTGCACAATTTCAAAAACAATCCATGGGTTTATGATTCTGTCCAGCTTAAACTATGATTTATTTTAACCCACATTCTGAATTCATGTAACAAGCCAGGACTTGACTAAAGTAAAGTAGGAATCCTGTCTTACACCTCCTTCTGCCCTAGTGGGAGGAGCAGGGAGTAAGCGAGCCTGGTACTTTGCACCAGTCCCTTTCTACTTGTGCACACAGTGTGAAACTATGATTTATTATGTGCCAACACAATCTGTATGCCAATATTCTACACCTAAATAATTTTGAAATGCATTACTACTATTATAGCCCACAGACTGAAGCTTACTTTAAATGTATATTCCAGATGCTTGTCAGATCTTTTTCTTGGTACACCTTTCAGCATTATCTTCTGAATATGTACAGCTGAAATACAAATTAGAAATGCAAAGATGTTCAGCAGTTCACAAACATTTCCAAAATTTAACATATGTCTATTCAATACTTAACTATTTTGCTATATACTGAAGCAGCAGTCCCCTTAATATAATTTTTAGGTACTAGTAACACATCATTGCCTCCTCCTGGTCATTCAGTTTTGCAATGCCTTCATTATCTAATACTACTATACAATGGTGGCAGTTTTCTGTTGCTCAATATATGTGGATGCCAACATATATTTGCATATGCTATGCAGTGACAGCCATGTATCACAAGGATTTCAATGGTACAAAAGGACAATTTGCACTAAGACTCCATGTATAACTTAATCTGAGTTACAACACCAACACTCTGAAGTACTGCCAAGACTTACAGAAGACCTAACTTTAAAAGGGCAAATCCACAATTTTGGAATCACTATTCCTGTCCTTCTACATATTGAAACACTGGTCAAGAGTGCTTTAGTCAAATGCAGTGGCCTTCATATTACCTTCCTCATTCAAATGAGTATGGAATAGCCACTCTCATTAGGAAGTACAGAAAGGGAAAACCAATTTGAGTATCTGTTAGAAGACTGTTAGAAGAGAGCTAACATTAAATAGGGAAGTTACCACAGAAGCAGAATTAACTGTAATTACACAGCAAAAAGGGCACACTGCACCTTAAATAAGGCACATCTAGCCCTTTCTTTTCTAAACTACATCCTTACATTTTACATAATAATATGATAGGATTACATTCCTTTCTATTTTATGCAACAGAGGCAGCCTAGTTTGAAAAGAGCAGAAAACCAGAACGAAAATGGTGAAAAATGAACACAGTGCAACAACTGCATTTTAGTAGTACTATTTGATTTCTGTTTTATGTTGGGGAGAAGGCCTTTGCATATAAGTGAGGAAAACTAGATCTAGTAAGACAGGGTAGGTTATAATCACTCATCAAGATACACTAGTGGTGACCTAAGTGTATTCCTGTACTAGCAGTTAAGAGCAAGAGATACAAGATAGAAGACACTCAAGTCTAAGCTCAGCTATGAACTCACTGAGTAGCCTTAGCTGTGTTGCTCTTTAAACTCGAACCTCCTGACATCTGTAATATTAAAAGAATACTGGCCCGTGTGAAAGGACTGTGTTCCAGGGAATACTGAGAAAGTTTTCTGCACATGCTGAACACTACACATAGGTAGTTAAAAGTTGCTTCCAGACAGGACTTATACTGTACAATATTCTGGCAATATTTCTGGGGGTCCAGATGTTGTTGGCTTCCATTTGTAACCCATGGTTTTCCAACTGCTTCTTCTGCCATCTCTTTACCACAAAAATTTGGTTGCACGGAAGCCAGGAGAGATGCAAAATGTCTTTCTGGCTGCTAGCACTAAGAGCCATCTTGTGTTTGAGAGTAATAATCCAGAAATGCACTACAGATCCAAGTTCTGCAATTAAGTATTGTAGGTGTATGCAAGCCCTAGAGTATCAAGTACAGGTTGTATTCACTGGAACAATATGCCAGGGTTCTCCTGAACTGATTAACTTACTAGAGAGCCATTGTGGTGCAGTGGTTCAGAGTGCGGGACTGGGACTCAGGAGATCTGAGTTCTAGTCCCCACTCAGCCACCTTGAGTTCCTTGACAGAAAAAGACAGGATATTAACGACGACAACAACAACACTATGTATGAACAGCACAGAAATACAAGCAGCCTGTTCACTTCCACTTTGCTCCTCCCTGCAATCACAACCACTAATCAGGCATAGCAACCATGAGAGACCAGGAGACATGTTCATCCAAGGATCACAACCTGCTGAGTGCTGGCAAAGAAAATCAGTTCACTGCCAAAAACCAGTGACAGATACCTAAGGAAGCCAAATCCCACTAGTTTTCAGATATGGGCATTTTAAACTTCCTTAGCAGTAATGAACCTTATTTTGGCAACAAGGTGCCCATGTTTCTGCAACAGTATCTTGACAGCTTGATGATAAATAGCAGTGGAAAGGAGAGATACATGGTCCAAGGGGTCATGTAGTCTGCAGGCAGTCCACTGGATGTGTGTCACCCACCCCTACACTAAGCAAAGGGAAAATAGTTTGGCTAGAATGTTACCAAAATCAGGCATCCTGGCCTGTTGTCTTTAAAAGCCAGGATCACAAACCAGGTGCAGATATAATAATGAATGAGAGCTGAGGGGATGGAAGCAGGTGTCAAGAATGTGCCTTCTCTTTGCTTTTTGTAAATGACCACACCCTCAAGACAGATCCTTTTAATCTCTTCACTGCTGTAAAGAGCTATGTTTTGTTACAATATGCCTATGAAAGAGTATTAGAAGTGGCAAAAATAGACATGCTTACAGTCTACAGCTGGACAAATAGCTGGTGATGTGGATTTTTTGGGGAAAAATTAGATTTTTTCCACTGTCCTAAATGACTGAGATCTGATTTAGCTACTTGATTTTTAAAGAACAAAACTAAAGAATGCTATTTTAATTTTGCATGCGATGTATCTTTTCTCAGTAGCTAAAAGTAATTGAACTGAATTAGGAAAAATCAATAAAATATGCTTTAAAATTATATGAGATCCAAAGATCAATTCAAATTATATCATCATCATCATGATTAGCAGCAGCAAATATTTTAAGCTGCTGCTGCTAATTCATTAAAAATGCTTCCCATATATTTATTTGGGGATTTAAGTAAAATGAAGACAAAGAAAATATGGTAACTATAGCATATGCTTTATGAGTTTCACACACAAGCATTTGTGCTCCCTAAGAATAGTCACTTTAAAAAAAATGAATTATAACTTGGAATTTTAGATTTGACTAGTGTTAAGTCTGTTTGTACATGTGGACAGCCTACCTGGCTTAATTTATCAGTGAAAACTATTGTGTTGTGCAGGATGACTTGTGTTGTGCAAACCCAGGTAATCCTAAAGCAAGCCATGCCGTATTTGAGGTTGTCTAGGTCTCAAGCAACTCCTGTGGCCTGGGTCTGCATGACAAAACAAGACATGGCAAACTGGTACTACAAACCCGAGTAGATTAGGCCATGGTGGGCTGTAATGCCTTGAGAACCAGACCATTATATCAATTCCAGCTGCCTAATTTCACCTGTATATCTAACAGCAGAAAGTTTTCTGAAGAAAAATATAGGGGTTGAATGTTTTAATCCCACCACTGCATATAACTAGAATTCAGAAGATCAAAGGTCAAGCTAAGCCAAAAATGGAAGTCACCAGCAGAGGCAGAACAACTGTTATTACATGGCTAAAGTATCTACACACCTTTGCCACACAATCTGCAGGTATACCCCGCATCTTAGAACTAAAGAACTGGGATTACTATGTGACATACACAGCTTTGAAGTAGGGAGAAATGCTAGCTCCCCGTCAGACTGACCGGATGATTGTGCCTCGTTTCCCATGACAAGCATATTGTGTGAAGTCTGCAGCCAACACAAGAATGGACACAACACTGCTAAGTGTACAATGTCCCAAAACATAAAATGTTACCTACCTTCTTGCTGTGGTCTGTGGGAGGCCACCATAAGCTTATCACGTTGTGCTCTTTGTTCAAGTAAATTGCTCTCATTTCTTGGCATGCAGTTATGGGGAAAATTCTAAATTGAGGTGGGGAAAATAAAAATATTTAGCATGAACACAATTCACACTCGGTGTAATTTTTTTTTTTAAATCAAATTCAACCCAATCATTGCTACCCACCCCCGCCAAACACTGAGGAGACACACACACTCCTCGACTTAACATTCCTCAGAAATATATTTCAAGAACATCTATAATCTATGCAATGTTAAGTTTGGGTCAAATTAAGGTATGTGCCTAATATCTGAAAAGGTTAGATAGCAGCACCTGTGAGATTTTTTCCCTGCTCGATGGGGCTTCATGAATGAGATTATGGTGCATATGTGGCCACTGTTTTGAACCTACATTTGAGGACTGCTGTGTTCTGCAAACCTGGAGAGCAATCAGTTTGTGGTGTTTACCAATTATATGAGCTAAAAAAACCACATCACTCAGCCCATAACTCACTTAAAACTATGGGTTGACTGTGGATTGTTGTTGAACTGTCAGTTCCTGTGTTGTGTGCACTCAGCTGTACCAACAAACCATGACCTGTTAACCATGAAAAACCCACAAAAAGAATCCCTGCTTTTCTGGGGTTGTGATCTGTGGCTTGTTAATGGTTAATCCACCATGGTTTGTTGGAATGGCTTGAGTTTACACGTTCATGGGTTCACATCGACTCATGGTTCATTGACAACATATCCTCAACCCATTACTACACCTAAAGCATGGCCCTAGTTGCCAGATTCACCCACATGACAATTCCAAACAAAGATTGAACATACAACTTAGTACCCACAGGGTCTGTTATCAGAACCTGGTCAACTGTAAATGTGGAAGTGATTTGACTAACTTGATGTGGCTATAGCAAATTCAAGTGCTTCAAACAAGATGCTTGCTGAGATGTTTTTCATTATGGGTTGCATGCTTACATGGATTTACACACTTTCTCTTGACACAAATACCTAAGGAAATCATGTCATTATATAAATTATGGTTTTTTAAAAACTTGGCTTCTCTGCATACAAACAGGACTCTTGAGAAACAGTGTCTTGTGGATAAACAGATAAAGAGAATGACAGATTCAACATTAGCAGTTTCCTAGCATCAGTATTTGATTAGGAACAGAAGCCAGTGAATATGCAGAATACTACTGGAATTATATTGCCAAGGAAATTGCTAGGGGAACCTGGAATTTGCAAAAGCTTAACAGGGCTGTCATGGACAGGGCATTTTAGAGAGCTTTCATTCATAGGGTCACCATAACTTGCAGATGACTTGATGGTGCATAATACACCCCCCCCCCAATCTCTCTAATCCAACTAACACACCTTTGTATGTACTTGAAGTAAGAGATCTAAGTGTTTGAATGTATACCTCAGTAGGAGACCTAAGTGTTCTTCAGCATATTCTTTTAGAAAATGTGTTTTGGTTTCCTACAGATTCATGTTTTTTGTTTGGGTTAATAAACTTCAGTGTTCATCTAAACAAAATAATTTCAAGCTGTTTTTCTCTTCCTTCTTCCATTCCAAAAATACATGATACATGAAGCAAAGTGGTGGTACACCACCAAAATCATGGTTAATACAAAAGTTCTCAGAGGAAACTCTGAGGACATTTTTACAATTAACCACTTCATTTGAGAAGTACATGCATGTAGTATGGAAAATAAAAGACAACTATTTTCCAAACAAGCATACAACAAACATTTCTAGTTCATTTACAAGGTATGATTATTTCAAGACCTTCTGAAATATGCTTTTCAAGCATTTCAAACATTACATTCTACACCAGAGTAATACTCTAAAGGAGCACACACTTAAATTAATCAAGCCCTTTTCCCATTCCCTCATGGCTGCACTGTGCTGCATAAAATATGCAGGTAGTGTGCTCTGTGTGCTTCTGGCACTCCTTTTTCCCAAATTCACCTGTGAAGCTGGATGAGCCTAGAACTCTACCTAATAGAGCAGGCGTGGAGAACTGCCAGCCCACAGCCTCCTCCTCCCAATCCCAACTATGCTTGCAAAAAAGAAAGAAGAGTCTCATTCATGCAATGCAGACTTTTTTCAAAGTCCCTACCACAAATAATGGGGTGAAGGAGAAGCAAGAATAAAACTAGGGGTGAGAAATGGAAAAGAGGGAGGGCATGAACAGGTGTATGTATTTGTGAATGAATGAGAGTAAGTGTGATTCTTACTTAGCTACAATTTGAAATTAGATGCTAGATTAGATAGCTCTTTTGTTTGCTCCTGGGGAACATTTCTTATATTCCTATTTCAACTGTAACAACTTTTAAGTTACTGCTGAAAATTATTTCTTGCCCATATGTGCATGCAAGCCACTGTGGCAGTTATATAATTCTAACAATGCTGCAGTGTCTTTTAGAAATAATAGAAAATGAACTTTTAATGGAGATTAGATATTTCAGCACCACACAAAGGTGGGGGGCTTTGTGAACTATGCTTTCCAAATAGCAAATGAGCCCCTAATTTTTACACCTTTTTAAATATATGTGACAGGACCTAAAAGCTGGTATGGCTGATTTTATAGCCGTTAAAGCCAGAACTATTGATGTTAAATATTTATATCCTGTGTTTTACTTAACCTCAGACCTCCAAGCTGGCTAACAGCAAGTGAAAATACAGAATATTAAAAAACAATGAAGGAATCTGTATTGGCTCACAATAATTTTGCATTGATAACCAATAAGCTTTTTAAAGGTTGTCATGACTTGGGAAAACTTAACAGGAAAATTCCTCCAGCTCTATGTATAAAGGAACAATTTGGGAACACTTTCTACAAGGCCAGAAGGTCTGTGAAGAGCAGATCTCACGCTTGCAAGAAATGCATCTATTAATTTACGATGTCTCAAGACTCCAACCCTTCGAGTACCCCACGCTATGGAAAACATAAAGCCGCCCTCAGGGCCCAGCTGACTCACAAACGCGCAGAATCAGCTCTGCCCGCCCACCAGTTCCCCGTCCAACTACTAATGTAACGAGGGCCACGCTGAGAAGGCAAGAGAGATCTGAACCCAGCTCCAGTTGCTTGTCCCGACTCAAAGCGCTATTATGTCACAAGGGAAAGTTCTCCTAGGAGCCGGTCCTGGCAGGGGAAGATGGTGGCAGGAAGGCTCCATTCATGACACGCAGGTTTAGCAAGGGGCCGAGGGGGCTGCCAAGGGGCCGCGCTGCGCAAGGGATATCCTCACCCGACTCGCAAGGCAAGCGAACCCGTCCATCTCCTCGACGTCCCGGCAGAGGGCCCTCCGCAGCCGGTCCAGGTGCTCCCTGAGCGTGACCCTCTGGTGGAAAGAAAAGGCAGGGTGCAGGGAGGCCATGGTGAAGAGCAACAGCAACTCCTCCTGCGCCACCGGCCCCAGGCCTCCCTCCACCGGCCCAGGCCCCGTCACGGCCACCTCCTCGTCCTCCTCGCCTTCTTCCTTGGGGCGCAGCGGGCCGAGGGGACGGCAGCTTTGCAGGATGGCGTCCACATGGGGCAGGAGGCGGTGAAGGCGGCTGGCAGCCTCGCGATTTTCGGAGCCCAGCAGCGCCAAGTAGACGATGAGCTTGGAACGCACCGCCGGGTCGCGGAAGTCGCTGCCGCCCAGCGGGGGAGCAGCGGGAGGGGGCGAGCCAGCCGCTGCAGCCGCTGGGGGAGGAGGTGAAGGCGGCGGCGGCGGCGGCGCTGCGAGGAGCTGCGGCTGCTGCTGCGGGGGGCCGGTGCCCGGAGGGCTGGGATTGCTTCCTGACGAGGAAGCGTCGGCGGCGCCTGCAGCCGCCCCAGCGCCGTTGGCTTTGGCCTCGGAGTCCCGCAGGCAGTGGTAGTCCTTTCGGGCTAGCTCCTCCAGGCAGGAGCCCAGGAAGCGCAGCTCTAGCGGGTTGAGCAGGTCGAGCAGCCCCACGGCGAACTCCAGCCGCTGAGCCGAGCCCAGTGCCAGGCCGAACCACTCGTAGACAGCCTCGCGGGCGCCTCCGGCCGAGCAGCCGCAGAGGCAGCGCAGCAGCGGAGCAGGGCCGCCGCCGCCGCCCGACGAGACCGCTGTCCCTGATCCGGCCCCGCTTCGACGCGGGCGACTGGCCAGGCCGGCACTGGCGGCGGCGCAGTCCCTCAGCGCAACGCCCGCTGCCGCTCCCTCACCGTCCTCCTCCACCTCCTTATGGCTCATCGCCTGCCGCTGCTGCTGCTGCTTCACCGGCAGCTTCATCTTCAGCATCCTCGAGATGAAGGGAGGGGAAAGGGGAGTGAACGGGGCGGGCACAGCGCCGCCGCTGTCGTCGTCAAGACCCGCCGCCGCCGCTCATCGCCTTCCTCCTCCCACCCAGAGCTGAGGCAGGGTAGGGGCTTTTGCAACGGCACTCGGCGAAGGGGTGGCGACGACCGGAATGGCCGCCGCCCCTCCTCCTCTTCCTCCTCTCAGCGGCTTCTTGAGGGAGCGCGTGAGGACCCGCGTGCCAGCAAAGGAAGAGCGAACGGGGGGGGGGGGGGGAAGGAAGACTAAAGCGCGCAGGTCCCGAACGCCGCTCTCCTCCTCGCTTGGACCGGCGCGAACTGAACTGAACGGGAGGGAAGCGGGGGAGGGGGAAGAGGAAGAGACAGGAGAGGGCGCGATAGAAGCCGAACGTTGCGCTCCAGCCAATCAGAGGGGAGGTTCGCGCATTGCGTCACCTCTCACTGTTTTAAGAGCTTCGGGTCGACCACCCAGCCCTGTTGGCGAACTTCCCGCTGGGTCCTAGAGAGAGACTATCATTGCTGGCAAGCGCTTTCTAATTAATTATGGATGCTCCAGCTGGGCCTTGCAACTCCCAGGTCAACAGGGGCAAATCAGACGCAGCTCGCATTTCAAAGGCATAAAAAACTATTTCGCCCGTAAAACCATTTCGTTCATTTATTTCATTATATTTATGTTTGGCAGTTTTTCTCTAAGGAACCTATAGAAGCTTACATGATCCCTCTCATTTTTCATGACAACAACCTTGCAAGGTAGGCTAAGTTGAGAGTCAGTGATTAGCCCAAAATCACCTGGTGAACTTCATGCCTGAGTTGGGACACGATCTGGATATTTTGAATCCCAATTTAACTCTTTAATCACTGCATTACACTGGCTCTCATTCCATAAATGTCATAATCATATTTTTATCAACTGTTCTCCAGTACAATGATTGCCAGTGTTTAAGCATGGAGCACAAATAGATCAATAGCTTTGTGTGCGTGTGTGTGGAATTAGGTCTGTGAACAAGTTCCTTTTGCTAGTGCAGCTTTTTTTTAAAAGCCATGGAATGGTTTGTATGTCATGTGCACTAGGAATTGTGGCTTGTTACTCCTAAACAAGCCAGGATATGTAAACCAAGGACAAGCCCTGGTTTGTAAGCCTGGCTTGTAGATTGAGCAACAAACCAGGATTGCCAATTGAAATGATGTGGTTTGTTAATCCACTCGTGCTTGTGGGAAGACCCAAACAATGAAATACACTTCATGGATGCATGCAGAGCTCATTCATGATAAGGCAAGTTTTTACCTTATTGTTCTGAATAAACATATGTTTATGGTGCCTGAATAAAAACATTTCAAACTGCCCTTCCACAGTGGCAAAAATATAGATAGGCTACAGTCAAAAACTAAATGGCCTATGTGCAGAATTTAATGCAGCTGCTCCTTTCTTCTATTTTCCGGGAAAAACACAATTACGAAGAGGAGAGGAGAGGAGATTGTGGGATTATGGCTAGCTAGGGAGTACTGTGAGTTGTAGGACTTTCATTCATATAAATGTAGATCAGATTGTACCGTAAATTGTTGACTTGCAGCAAGTTGCCTTGAACTGTTTGAAGATAAGGCAGGGTATGTTTGAAAATAAGGGAAAAAGTACATACCAGGCAAAATTGGATGGCATGTACACCAATTATAATTGGTTTTTATCATTAGCATGATTAGCCTGCAATTACTCCATTGAAGGACATGGGTCTAAAATTCAAGAAAATATATGCAGGATGGAGTATACAGAAGCCTAAGAAGAAAGGGCAAAACCCAAACCAATTGTAAGCCATCCCAAAAGGTTTGTAGGGGACAGGATAGAAAAGCTTTAATAAATAAATAATACTTAAATTCATGCTGCAACACCAAGCACATTTACCTCAGGTACCTCCATTGAACACATGAGTAAACATGCAGGATTGGGCTATCCAGTGATGTTTTAAAAGGCCTTTCATTTAAAAATAATAATAAAATGAGACGTCTCTTGACCCAAAAAAGATATCAGGGTAGACACCAAGGAAACCTTGCAGCTGGGAAGACACTCCGGTGGAGCAGGGGGGGGGGGGTACCAGGGTTGCAGAGGCTTCTCCCCGGATACCACCCACCAAACTTAGGAAGGTGAGGAGCCCGCAAAGGGGCCTCCTGCCAGGTGCAGATTTCTGGGCACGTCCTTGATTGAAAAGCCAAGCCATCACAGAGACAGGCTTTCATCATGTGTTGGGCTTTCAAAGTAAGCCCCAGCATTTGAAGTAATACTCATTTTTATCAACCACATGAAGAGTTAAGAAGGAACGAACTGGGGAAGGAAAGGGATGTGCCCTTTTTGCAAGGACTCTGTTGGGAAGGACGGGAGGAGGCATCCGCCCGCACGGAGCGCGAGAGGCAGAGAAATGAAACTTAAGCAGGTGCAGGAGCTACTGAACGAAAGTGAAACTCGGAGCGTTTCCGGAGGGACAGTGGATGCTTGGCTGGAGGCCTGCAGCGCGGGTTACTCTCGGCTAGGAAAGTGTGCGCGTGCCTGAATATATTCGCTGGCAAGGGAGTGAAGAAATCGGCGGGACCTGCGTCTCTGTGTCTTCCTGCACAGGGTGAGCCTTGCTGCCTTCGACGGGGCTTTGCTTCTGTGCCAGGTGTGTATCTGAGGCAGAACATGTGGGGAATGGGAGGGAATGGGGAAAGTGCAGCACGAAACGGTGGTTCCAAAGTGGAAAACATAGGCTGTGGTGGAAGTCGGTCGGGCTTGAGTGGCATCTCCTGCGAGGATCAGCAGCAACCGGAAAATCTGCACTGAATCTCACTCATCTGATAGGGTGGTAGCTCGAAATGGCAGAAGGGGTGTGAAAGGGCACTGGTGCTGGTGCTGGTGCTTGTTGCATCTTCCACACCCCCCTCCCCTTTCCTCACTGTAGATTTGACTCCTGCTTTATCCTGCTTTGCCATTTGTTAAAAGCTGCTATTGCATATAAGTTAAAATCATTTCAAAGTGGTCATTAAAAATCAACTTAAAGAGCCCAGCCCCACAACACACAACTGACAGAGGAACCCTCAAAAGCTCTTAACTGCACAATCCCAGGCAGGTCTTCTTGGAAGTGAGCTCCAGCGACTGTAATGGCAATTACTCTCAGGTCTGTGGCCTAAAGTACTTAATGCCTGTAGGAAGGATGATATGGGCTTTAGATTAAAGGTTAAAACATTCACCTTATTTTAACACTGAAGTCAGATCTGTACTTTTCTAGGCATATTTTTTGAGCAGTGAAACAAAGTGTATATATTTGTTATCATTTTGTAGAAATTAATATAAATAACATTTTATTCCTCGATCCGTATAATTTCTTATGTATAAATACACCCCCACACATTGCATCTATCTTAAACTTAATCTTCGACATAATAATCTATGAAAAATAGGAATGATTCATTAACTAGATGTCAAACAACTCATTCATATTATGAAACTAATTAGATCGGTGAAAGCAATGCATGTGGTATATGATATCCTGATATGTTGTATTCCCCTTAGAAGTAAACTGGTTTTCTACCAATCTCTCATGTACACTGTTCCTTGGGCTGTTTATAGTAAATTTAGTGGCAACCCTCTCCTTCCAGATCTGCTCATATCTCTTCAGGATGGGATGGTTGGCACATCATGGTGGCATTTGGTGGCAAATTTATATACAGTCTGTAATTCTTCCCAACCTGTTCAGTCCTCAGCTCTGGATTTTAGGTCACATGAGTTACACTCCTCAAAATCCAATGGGTGCCAATGGGATGTATTTGCTTATCCCAACCAAGAGCTAGGTCTCAATTGCTAGGAGAGGCATTTTCACTGAATTTGCAATGTAGAGAAAATGGTTTTAAAAAAACCCCTTACAAACCATGACTTTGATCCTGAATGTGCCTTCCCTGCATTATCTAGCTTAAAAACACTCATACAGAAACTAGTGCTGCCTTTCACTTCACATGCCTAGTGTATTGCATTCATACATAAGAATGGAAACATGTGTTTGATCCATTCTTATACCCTGGGCATTGCAGTATATAATGGCGATTGCTTTGGATATATTTTAAATAGCTATTACCCGTGGAAAGAATTTGCAAAAATAGTTTAAGCTATGGAATGCATTTATCCCTTGGTGAAACTCTTTTCATTTTTGTTAATTCTGAAGCTGTACCTCACGTTGAATTTTGGTTTTCTGAGTTGGAACCGATAACTAAGGGTAGCAGATAGACACTTAATGGAGACTTAACTGCTGTTAACCACATTTGCCACAGCCCTTTAATATGTTGTGCAATAGCTCAAGATAAGAGCAATTCTTTCCTCCTTTTCCCTCCCAGATTTTTAACATCTGTTATATACTCCTCGTGCTGTGTCTATAGAACATTACACAAATCCACTCAAACACCCTGCTGAGCAATTTCTGTCAGCCAAAGAATGCATCTAAAGTACTTGACTGAATTCAAACAGTCTGTATAAATCCAAACTGAAAGCTCTTTTCTGCCATACCAGTTTCAAAAGGTATCAACAAACCTTGCCAAGAACTGCTGCATACTCTGATATTATGATTGCCTTGTCAAGATTGCATTTACCAAGATGAATAACAGGTTTTAAAATATAGCCAAGAGTTGTTGTTGTATGATTAACTTACATTTGATGGATCAGAATAATGAGATCTACATACATTTGCATATGAATGAACACTTTCTGAGAGGAGTGGGAAAGAATTTGCTTTTCCTTTTTAGGTTATGCAGAGTATGTGTTGCAGCAAACTTTGTTGAACAACTTCTTCCTACACCACCATCTGTGGTTCTTGAAAATTATTTTTAATTCAGGGTCTTGCAAAAAACACAGGTGGCACAAACATTTTAAAAATCCCTGTCCACTTAATTGGGGCCGAGGGGATGTGTTGAACTGATTGCGATCCCTACATGACAAGTCCTTGTTCATAACAGGGACAGGTAACCACCTCTGGGTTCACAATCTGTTAGGGGCTAGAACATAGGCTTACAGGAGAAAATTAGTGGGGCTGCCATCTTTTGGTGCCCCTGCCAAAGGACTGAACTGAAAATGCAAAGGCCATGGAAACCCAGAAAAAATGGGAGGGAAAAATACCAGATGAACTGAGATGAAAAAATAGTTCTCCCTTCCAAATCCCTGGAAAAGGAGCGAAATTCTAATTCTTATTTATTTTTCTGCTTGTATGCTGCCAACTGCCCCGACAGATCGCTAGGTGACTTACAACAGCGACCAAAAACAATTCTTCAAAAGAATAAAACATCATATAAAATCATCATAGTGGCCATTGAAAAGTAATAAATAGAGTGAGTTAAAGGACAACTATGTACACCATTAACATTAAATAAATTAAAATCAGTGGTTAAAGTGATGCGGAGGCAACCTGAGAAAGAAAAGCTGTAAAGCAGCTCAACACACAAAATGAGGGTGGGGGATGGAATAGAGTGACCTGGGAAAGGGCATCCGGGTGCTCCGCCACACCCACCATTCCTGTGCAGGTCCCACTTGTTACTAGAATTACTCCCTTCAGTCTGTAAAAAGCTTTTCCTCTGTGAGCCTCCCCTTCTAGAAAGCAGCTCCTTAGAAGGGAAAATGACAAGACTATGCCAGGTTGAAGCTCTTCTCTCCTTTAGTTTTGTTCCTTCTGAAGTCTGATGTCTGCAAACTACCTGCAGTTTGCTCTTCCTCTCCCAGGAGTGGTGCTAACAACAGAAGAAGAGGAAGAAAATTACTTCTACCCTGAGTTCTCCAGACTCGGAGGATCCAGGATTAGAGACTGGGAGATTTTCCTCTGTGACTCTTGGCCAGCAGTAGAGGGGATAGATGTCCCACATTCACCTTGAGCTGCCCTATGGCTCACTACCAGATACGGTTGCTCTTTCATCATCCCTGCCCTGAAGCCTTCTATGTTCCTTATTGCACTTTCTGTTGTTTTTTTAAATGCTAGAGTTGGATTGGACTTAAAGTTATGGAAATGAATGTATGATGTGTTTCTTCCCCAAGGAATTGGCAGGCTCTGCAAGAGCATGCAGCATCATGCTTGGTTTAAGATATGGGGAAGGATGCAGTCTTTGATTTGAAAGAGATGTGCTTTTGAGAGAGGGGCATTCCTATGTGAAACACCTGGGCACTCTCATTAGATAATTGCAAAGTGCATTCTTCCATATTCCTGATGAAAAAGAAGATAGTTTAAAGGGGGTATTTAACTTTAATGTGGGATTTTAGTGGGGATATTTAGTGCCATGTGGCTTCTTAGCTATAACCCAGTTCCAGCTGATTGAAAAATAGCAATGCCGGAGGTATCAATTATAAAAGGATCTCTGGCCTTGAATATTATTATTAGCATTACGATCAATGGTAAAAGCAGACTGGGTGAAAATATAACGCTTGCTCTTATGTTTTTTATGGATTGGAATTTCGTATCTATAATTGGTGTGTTTTAGTTCTAGGATGATTTGCATGTAGCATGCTTTAGTTTCAAAACACAAGAACAGGGATCACAGACCCTTGTGCAGTGCATTATATCTTTTCCCTCTTTATGCAGGTAGGGGGACTATAGTATATGAAAGAGGCCATATGTCGACATAAGGGAAGTTGGAGCTTGATGTCACTTGTCCCTGAAAGTCCTTAAGCATGTTTCAGCTTTCCTTCCTTAAAATGGATTTGAGAATACATTGCAGTGGAAAAGCTCATAGTGAAAAAGTTCTTGCAGATAAGTGTATGTCTACTGCCATCTAGAGCATTTTAATAAAGATGCTGAAAAGAAAATTATAGGAATAAAGGGGCATTTCAAGGCTTTGTTAATCATTCATTCAAGTCACTCTTTTCACATTCAATTCTGGAGCAGCATGTAGACTTATGAGTACAAACTGAATTAACTAGTGCACACCTGACAGTCAGATTGTAATGTTCAGCCCCCGCTGCTGGTGCCATCTCCTTGCATCGTATTTTTAAAAAATCCAAAGCTGTCCACAGGACTAGGCTGATGCAAGAGAAGCTGCAGTGGCATACTTTTAAAAAGATAGGCAAACTCTCTGTGTTGTACCTAGCAATTCTAAAGGAAACAGGTCCAGGAACATCCTGGACTAGTCTTACAACATGCAGCTATCATGTTCTTTGCACAGGTTCAGTCACTTTGCTCCCCACTAAAAAAAGGACGATGGGAAAAACCTCTGCCTCTGCCTGGAGATGTATTGTGAATCAGAGCAGGCTCTTCAGCACTTATGTGGGCAGTCTGGTGTAAGACAGCTTTCTATGTTGTGAGATGATGTGAGCCTTCTTGATGAAACATATAGCAGTATAAATCCCTGGCCTTAAAAGTGGGTGAAGTAAGCCATGCCTTCTTGAATGTCTCCACAATGTTCACTCATATGCCCTTGAATGCTGCTGAACCATGCAAAGAGGCAGGCATCCACCACTGATAGCTGTTGGTGGACGGTCAAGAGACAGCTGAATCAGCTGAGAAGGCCAGCAGGGGGCAGCAGGAGTAATCCTAGGAGCATTCTGGCTCCTGCATAAGTTGTGATGGACTGAAGCGGGGCTGAGACAACCCAGCGCTGGCAGAAAATTCTTCTCCGACACTCATTTGCAGCATATGGTTCATCTTCATCTTTTCCGGATTTTGGTGGAATGCTGTGTGCTGTTCATAATCAAATATACTTACAGTATTTTATTCCATAAATTATGAAATAAAGACCTCTTCCCCACACGCATCAGTACAGTAGGTAACGTTGGTACTATTGCCTCAAACTCATTCAAACCCTTCTATTCAAACTCTTCTATGCATACCAGGTTGGAAAGGGAAAAAGGTGTACAAAGCACGTGCATTATTTTGTCTGAATCCATGCTCTTTAGTCCAGAATATAGAACGAGGATCCATGTTCTATATTCAAGATTAACACATGAATAGTGTTTCCACAGCCACTAAGGAAGATGGACCGTTTTACTCTCTAAATCACTGGTGGGAAAGTGGAGAGGATGTCTGCGCCACAAAATCTGGCAAGTGGAACAGGCATGGTCCGCAACCACACAAACTGACCTGAAGGTTTCTGCATATCCTGAGTGGGTCAGGGCTGACCATGGAGGTGGGGTTGGCAAATAGGCCACTTGAGTAATGCAAACTGGGCTGTAGCTTTAGGCAATCTGCAGTCCACTTTTAGGCATGTTTATTGGTGACTGCAATGGCGTTTCCTTACAAGAAAGTGTGTGTATAGCAGTGTTATCTCAGCCCAACTGACTTTCATAACCAGTAAAAGGTTATGGTGGGATTGCTTGTGTGGTGTACGTTCAGGAGGCATGCACCAAACCTGAAGCAGAAGGTGGAAGATTATCAGCAACTGCCCCACAGTCGCCCACAATCCCTGCTGCCAACTTGCTGCATTTTGGGCCAGGCCTCCACAAATCCTTTTACCAAGTTGCCGATGGTGATAACCCGTCATCTGCTGGCAAACTCCCACCTCTGAATAACTCACTAATAGCAGGTAAGTTCGAGAAGGTCAGGCTTGCCTCATACTGGCTTTGCAGAAGTAGCTTCTTTCTGACTTTAGCAAGAAGCCTGTGAAAGGTGGAACAAGATGCAACTCTTCTTCAAGTCTTCCGAGTATCTGCGGTGGGGATGCCTTTACTCTTGTCTTGCATCAGCCTTTGGCAAAGAAGTGGTGTGAGACCTTCCCACTATTTGCCCCTTCCCCTCTGTCTCCATATATAAAGGCAGAGGGAGAGGGAATAAGTCAAGTGAAGTTGCTGTCTTCCTTTGCCAGCTCTTGTCCTGCCTGCTTGTCCTGTCTGATCACAGGTGTGTGCACAAGAGGCTGCCTGTTTTGATGGGGCTGGCCATTCCAGTGATGAGGTATGTCCATGGGAGGCTACCTTTCCTGGTGGGACTGACTATTCAGACTCTGATGGTTGTTGAAACAGTCCCAGCCCCAGCTGCAGTTCAAGGTCCTGAGACTCCGCTAGTTTGTTATGGGTGAGATTAGCTCATGGACAGGTAAGCGGAACAGTCAACTTGGCCATGGGAATGGGGAGGAGCTGCAAGACCTTGAGGGAGTAGACTTGGAAATGGGTAGTGTGTTGGATGGGAAACTCTGACCCCCGATGGGGTAGACCCTATAGTTAAATGTCACTATTGTACGGTGGCCCAACTGGGGAGACAACAGGAAGAGTGATGGCATGCCCAGTTGCACAGTGCTCCTCCTGCCAGGGACAGATGCAGAAGGGTTCATAAGGAAAGCTTTGGGTACAGAATTCCAGGGTTCAACATTTTGCTTTGTGTAGTCTCAAAGACTTCTATGTAACAATAAAGACTTAGCAAAGAAACGCTGATGAAACTGATACTGCTGGGAGGGAGAAGCATGGCTCACTGCAGCTCTGTACCCAACTAAACAAACCTGGCAGAACTATAGTTAGCTAGAAATAAGGAAAAATTTGGAAAGGGTTATTGCTGAGGCAGTTTGGAACTTTTAGTTATGAATGATACAACTGAGGGAAACATCACATACTAGTGAAGTTTTAATATTCAGATTGTTCAGCAAATAAATTGATTTAAATGTCTAGGTAAGGATCCACTTTTTGGTTCATAAAATCATGAGTGTAATTTAAGTCATTTTGAATAAAAGGAATATATCATGTACATCTCAATAGTTTTGCGAGATTCCCACCGTGGTGCTGGGTTCTCAGTATGGCCAGCACCAGTTCAGCCAAGAAATCTTAAACTATGTTTGTAGGAGCCTCTATCTGCAGGCTGGGATTTGTATCAGCTGCAAGTTATTTTGCAGAGGCACGGCTGTCTGCATGCCAATGCAATGCAACTGCACAACCCGCATGGTTTTTAATTCAGGCGATGCCTGCATCTTTCCCCGTTCTTCCTCAACTGTCTTTCACATCCACGTCCTTCCTGCATGTCTTCAGGAAAAGTGCTGCTTGGCAGTCCCAGCCTGCCTTCACACTATTAATGAGAGTGTGATTTATAGTGGTTCACCCCATGTTCAAAGTTTACAGTTTCTTCTTACGGTGTTTTAGTTCAGAATCAGAGGCTGCGCAGCAAATCAAATTAGTACAGCTGTTCTGGGAACACACACACCATGCTCTGGTCAAGCACACTTTTCTCTCCACAGCCAAACTCAATCCATACCAGTTCTGCAGCCTTGCAGAAGAAGCCAGCTGAGAACAGCCTTGACTGGCTGGAGCACATGCTGACACGGATCTATTTAAACTCAGAGTTTTGAGTTTCCCAGTTTTGCAGCCCCTTTTCAAATGCATTTTGTTTTCAAAGAACAAGCTGTTGAATTAAAATTTAAATCAGTGCATGCAGATGTGGTGTTTTTAAAACAAACCATCAGAAAAGTGGCAGAAGGTCCACTCAAAGCATGGGACTAAGAACTACATCTCTGGAATATTGTCTTTCTTCTCCATAGCAAAGGTGATGAAGCCAGAGCCACCTCATGGTTGAAGAACACAACAATTGGTGTTTTCATGCCATGTTCCTACACAGCCTGAATCTACTATTCTAGCTAACTGCAAATGTTTAGACTAGAGCTTCTAGCAGCCTGTTCAAGATGCTGGGGAATGTAACCCCCCGTTTTGGGACACCTGCAGTGGCAGCAACACATCTTGTGCTGAAATCCCCAACTGTTCAGCTTGTGGCTGGAAGACTGAGAGAAACATACCACATGGCATCAAAACCTTCAGCAGTATTCTCTCCGCTTCCACAGCAGAGACTCACCAAGAAGAGCAAAGATCCTACTACTAATTTGCCAGTCGCAACAACTTGCAATCTCATCAACAAATGTAAGGATTTTGGCTGCTTCATGCCGTGCAGTTCCTGTCCTCCAGGCTGCATCGAGTGATCGATAGTGTTCTTTTTAACTGCGTGACAGAAACCGACAAGCAGTCATTCGTTTTCATCAGTGCAAAGCTTACTTTAGAAACTGTTCTTGCTTTCCTTCCTCTTGGACAGGTTGTGAGTCTTCATTACAATGATACTTCCTGTTTTGATCCTCCTCTTGGACAATAGGCCCTGAAGTCCTCTGGTAGCCTCTCACAGTACTGGGAGGTCCTTCGTGGTCCCTGCTGTCAGCAGAATTAATTTCAGCACATTTTTCCTTAAATTGGTGAGCATTGCCTGCAAATGTCTCACAACGGTTCAGATTCTCCTCTTGCACTGGGCTCCCCAAGCCGTCATCACCTGATTCAGGAGGCACAGACCCTTCTTGGGAGTTCTGACTGACATAGACAACAATGATTTCACCTTTGAAATTCATGACTTGTCCGCTTGAAATGAATGTGGAGTTTCCGTTTCCAGTCACATTTCCTAGAGGGTGTCAGAGCAAGGGAGGAGACAAGGAAGGACACAGTTATAATTCGTGCACATGCACTGTACGAAATCTGCACTGCGGGAAGCTTAGATGGCAGAATGAGGGGGTAGTGCTCAGCCAGTCAAGTTTCAAAGAAAAGAAGTGATAGGTGCAAAAGGAAAATTTGGTGCCATGGGGCAAAGCAATTTGAGCTCAAATGCTCCCTTTATAAGGGAATATTGCATTGCTGGAAAACTTCTAATTCAGATGGTAACAGCAGAGTTTCGCCTGTGACACATCACTGTCAACAGCCACATTCCCTGATGTGGCACCCTCCAAAGGGGTTTGATTATGATCCAATCATCCCCATCATCAGTGGTTATGCTCAATGAAGGGGCATGCAGTCCAACCCTACAAGGGCAGCAGGGTGGGAAAGTCTGGGTAACGACTTCGGCAAGTGGCAGTGGCAGAGTGACAGTGCTTGAACTGGGCTGGAAGAAACAAAGACCTGTCCTGCTGTGGCCAAAGGTATTCAGTGCCAATCTACCCCACCCAGTCTGGGTTAGGATCTGTAGAGTAACTTGCAGGCTTTTCATGTGTCCCTGCCAGCCTCGGCCGTGCCTCCTCCTTCAGGAGCTGACTGTGGCTAGTGTTACATGTGCAGCTGCTTAAGACTAAGCATGGTGAATTCAAACTCAAGCTTTCAGATCTGATTCTAGCCATCCCACAGCTTTGCAGCTAACCAGGATCAGCATTAAGATTGGGACATACACAGTGCATGTTCTGGTCAGCTGGGAAAATGGTCTTGCGGAGAAGGAATGCAGGAGCCCATGTGGCACTTCCGATGTCAAACGATTGCATAGTATTACATCTGTACTGGGCCCCAGTGGTGTGTGGCACAGAAAACATATCCAGAAGCTGTACCTCACTGTGCATTTCAACTAACTATAGGCAAAGGAGCAGGAGTGAATTCTACCCTCTTCACAAAGTCCAATCCCATGGGCACTATATCTGTGCCCTGAAATAATTAGTTCTTTCAGCAAGTTAAAAGGAAGAGTTGACCTTTTCTGCCATATTTTATGTACTTCCCAAGTGAAGTGCTGACCTGAAAGACTGTATTTGAATGTCACTGATAGAAATAAATCAGCAGAGGGGGCAGGCTCCCCAAAATCAGGTCCAGCAATAATCCAGAGCAAAATCGCAGACCAAAGCTCCAAATAAAGCTCAGATTGGGTCCCAGTGAAGTCCAAGTTCTGTCAGGTTCTTCCTAGGCACAGAATCACTGAATCACAGGGCCTAGAGATCTCAGGATGCTGCAAACTGTGCTTTGCTTTCTGACCAGAGGAATATGGGAAAGAGTATGAAGGATGCAGGGCTTTGTGAGTCACATCCATGAAAACTGCACTCTGGGAAACTCAAATCCATGGGCGCTGTAGCTGTCACACAGCCCAGCTTTCCATCGAGTGTACATGGCAACATTGAAAACCGCTTCCTAGCAGAGACCTCCAGGCTTCATAAGGTAGCCATACTCTGTTCTGGAGTTAATCTCTATTTAAAAGGCTGACCACTCCAAGTCCAGTATAAAGAACCATCAAAAGGAAGAAATGGGCCTTGAAGTTGCCCATCAACAGCACCTGGGTACCACACTAAAGATGACACAGGCCACCTTGCCAACGTTTCCAGACTGTGGCAGGATATTCCATATCTCTATTTAAATTAGAACAATCATTTCTAAATTTGCATCTATACATATACATTACCAGATGCAAATTGGCAACCCATTTCTCCTATTTGTGGAGATGAATTTCCTTTTTTGTTTGGTTTGGTTAGTTGATCTGTAAGTGGCTCCTCTAAGCTTCGTATCACAAGTGGAAGCCTTCTGAATGTTCCTCACCAGTGGTAGAAGAACAATCTAGGATTAAATTTTGATCAGACAAGGGTTCCAGATCATGGCATGTGATCAGACATTAAATCCTAGAGAACTCCAGTGTTTGTCAGAATCTCTAACTGTGTGGGTCTGAGGCTGTAGAATGAATGATGCAAAAAGGGAATTAAAGGTTGAAATCTTTAATGGTGCAGTGCCAGCTCTGGAACTCAGGGCCAGCATGCAAACTATTCCAGTTCTTATACTTAATTTAGGATATTTAATATATTGCATAATATGCACTAGGTTATTATTGTTCAAGTGTTTATATACAGCAAAGAAGGTAACTATTTTTTAAAAAGAATCGTAACTAATGTTTTTATCTGCTCAGTAGTAAATTTCTATTTGTAAATGGAGTTTGGCTGGTGACGGAATTTGCTTTTTATTCCTCCACCATCACCACAACAGTTGGCTGGCCAGCTAGCTAGCCAGACTAGAGAGTGCCAGAACATAGAGGTTTCCTTGCTGGGTGGAGAAAAACCACTGGCACCAGCATGTGACCACACTGGGTCTAGACCATTTCCAGAATCTCAGAGAAAATAAAAATTCCTGGCTCATTCACCCAGTCCTTCAAATTAAGTGCAGGATTAATATGGAAGGGCAAATCTTACCATGAAACAAATGAAGCTGTTGCTGCAGGCAGCATCTCCCAGTGAGGGGCTTCTATTACGCTACCTCTAGCTTCTACTTCAATGCCTCGGTTCACACGATGTGACAACTGTCTGTGGTTTATAAGTCACGGTGAACTTTCATGTCAGGCAAGTCTGGGACAACTTGTTAGGGTGGCTTCTTTTTAGGGTGTAAGCCAGCCTGGCAAACCAAGCTTGCGGAAAGGTCTCTTTAACCCAGGATGAGTGTCCCGTTGTCCAAACCCAAACAATATGACCCACTGTAGGTCAACCATAACTATAGGTAAGCTGCTTGGCGAGAGTGTTAGAAACCTTGCCAAGTGGCTAGCAGGCAACAGCCACTGCCAGCCTCCCCACAAGCTGCAAAGGCTCCCTTTACTCTCCAAGGACCATTTTGGGCTCACAGCAGCTGGCCTTTTTAAAAAAAACCATTTGGGAAAAAAATGGACTTTCACAATTCCAATGGGGGAATATAAAGGATGCCCCAGGGCTGCCAATTGTTGTCCCCTTTTCATTTTTCTAATCAATAATGCGGGCAAATGACTGCACTTGTTTTATTTTAACAAGGCCTAACCAATTTGTTCACATCAGGTTAGTACAAGGAGTCCCTGAACTAGGTGTGGCTAGGGTGGGTGCCTGTTGCCCAAATCCAGCAGGTACAGACCCTGCTCAGGACCTGCCCTGGCTGCAAGTCCGTATTCTCCACTTGTGCATTTTTTGCCTTGACAGGTCAAAGCCCCAGCTGATCATCACAATTGTGGGAAGGGGCTCTTCCCCCCTTTTGCAGGGTGAGCCCCTGGTTTCTTTGCGAAAGATCAAGTGTCCACAGTGCCCCTCCACCCTGGTTTCGCAGGTGTGCCCCTGTTGCCACCCTCAAGAGAACCTTCAAAACGGGAGGGGGTTTCCTCTGGCAGAGGGTTGGCATGGTTCACTTAGCATCAAACTCAGCCCTCAGTTTTTGAAATGGGGTTTGGATGGGCTTTCCAGTTTTCTTTTTCTCAGGCCAGTATATGGGTTCATATCCTATTTGCACCTGGATACTTTTGGGAAAAACAGACCTCACTTTAAAAATGGGATTTGGGGCTTGAATGTTCATGCTTTTGCTGATTCTTGAGCAATTCATGGTTAGTGGCAAAATCAAGATACCTGCGATTTGTGATCATTGCCCCCTCATCCCATCCCATCCCATCCCATCCCATCCCATCCCATCCCATCCCATCCCACTGTTTATCTGCCAAAAAGGAACACTGTTCCAACGTGTCCTAAAGCCCAGAGTGTTTCATATCGCTTGTGCATGTTTGTGGGGATCATTCATCCCTTTTGCAGCAGGATCCTTGGGATTTGAGGGGAGAAGTCACATGTCCCAAATGTACCCTCAGTTTTTTGCAAGTTCCCATGGGGTGCTAGTCTCTTGGGAACATACAAAACCAGCTGGGATTCCCACTGAGAGGCATAAGAAGGTTGGTGGCCGGTTTGCAGGGGAAGCCATATGAGGCGAGACTGAGAGAACTGGGCCTTTTCAGCTTGGAGAATAGGAGACTCAAGAGGGGAATCTGTTGGCGACATACAGGTATGTGAGGGGGTGTCACACGGAGGTGGGTAGAGACCTGTTCTCCCCTGCAGAGGAAGGCAGGACGCGCTCCAACAGAGCAAAGCTCAGGGAACCAAGGTTCAATTTAGATGCCAGGAAGTACTTCCTGACAGTTAGGACCCCGAGGGTACGGAATGGGCTTCCATGGGAGGTGGTTGAGGCCCCATCGGTGAGGGTGTTCAAAGATAGGCTGGACATGCACATGGTGGGCATGTCGTGAGTGGAGCCGGCTGGAGCCGGGGGTCAGACTAGATGGCCCGGGAGGCCCCTTCTGACTTGCTCTGTTTCTATGTTTCTATAATTTCACTTTGACAGTTCAGCTGAGCATCCATACAGTTTTCAGCCCAAACTGAAAATATTAACCCTCATAAAATGGAAGGTTAACAGTTTGACATTTGAGCTCAATTCTCAAAGTGCAACTTCCCCTGTAAATGGGAATCCAAGCTAGTTTGGATTACAGATAGGGTGGCTTATGGTATCGTATGAACCCATCCCATGTCTCTCTACCAGGCACATGTCTCCCTACAGAATTTAGTCAGATGCCCCAAGGAAATTCATGATGGAGATGGCCATGCTTTGTTATGTGTCCCTCTGCATGTGATTTCACCAAAAGTACGATGGAAAGGTTGACACTAGAAGGTTCACACCCATTCTCACCATGCAGATAACAGATGTCTGGATGTAGGCTTACCTGACGCTGCTGGGAAATCGGAACTGCTCCAGTTTGACTCAGACACTCTTTTTGCATTCTGAGGTTTTGTATCATTTCCATCAGATGGGTCACTTTCGGTATCAGCATTGCTTCCTGAACCACTATGATCCACAGAGAGAGAGTCCAAGCCACAATTGCCAATTGCAGAAGGTCCACTATCTTTGAAAGACTCTGTGGCACTGCCAGGCTTGCTGATGAATTCTCTACATGATGCTCCACAGGCAGTGCAAACATTTCTCTCCTCTGGCATTAACAAAGAGGCAGCTCCGTCTTGGTTGTCAACATTCCTCATGTTGCTACAGGGGGACGGATTCTGCAGGCATTTCTGTGAAGAAGCCTGAAGGTGGTCCATTCCACAGGAGCAGTGGCTTGTTAGATCCACCAAACTTTCCATTCCTGTGAAGCACTGACTTATGCTATCATTCTCCCCCACTTCCAGTGGCTCCGAGAAAGGTGACACGGGTTGGCTTTCAGATTGACTCAGTAAAGGTAAATAATGGGGGCCTTGATGCATTCTGTCCATATATTCATCTTCCATAGGCATCTGCCTGAAATGGTCATCTTCAGACACCACTGAAAGAGACATGGTTGGGAAATCTTCTCCTGATCCATAGTGGACTGTATCAGAACCTGCTTTCCTAGTCAGCATGTGCTCATGTGAGCAACATAAGTCACCCAGAAAGGAATATTCATCATGGTCCAATAAATATGTCCCTTCCAGAAGCCGAAGACCAGCAGGACTTCCCATATTAGCATTTACAAATGTGTCACGAGGAGAATCCTGCAAAGAAACAAAGGAATTACAAATAGAAATTTGGCACCATTTTGTAATTGAATTGCTATCTATTTTGAAGGCATCGTATACTATATCATCCTAAGATGGCCTAGCATAATGGCCAGGAGATAGAACTCTGATCTGGGAATGTACAAACCATGATAAATTGCAGCAACAACCTATCTATTCCAAGATCTAGTCCAGCTCTCCATGGTGGCCAATCAGGTGTTTCCAGCATTAATGGGATTTAGCATTATACTGTCTTTGAACATGGAGCTTCCATCTAGCCAGAATTACTAAGAGTCATTGATAATAGCCCATTAATCTGTCTAATCCAGCTTTGATTCTGCTTTGCAAGCATATATGCAGACAATGTGCACTTTTCAGAACAGGTGAGATTTAGCCTCCAAACAACTAATTGCAATAGTTATGGGAACCTGCTTCAGGACTGCTAAATGTCCAAAACCTGCTAAAAACAAACACAAACATGGTTCTGTTTAAGTAAAAACTTAAATAGGTACTGGGTAATCATGTGTAAGGAAAACAATTCTTACGTAGAATGGATCATACAGATCTTTGTTCAGATTTTAAAGAGCCTAGGCTATCCTCAAGGATAGCCCAATCATTTAGAGTAAAATGTACCTGTTTAAATAATAATAGTTAATTAGTAATTAAGGCAAAATCCCAACAGCAAACTGTGGAGAAGTTGCTGAGAACAAATAATTCTGCATGACTTAATGCCAGGAGACCCTTTGTGGTTCTTTGTTCCTTGCAACCTCACTGTTCCCTCTTGCCCTTCCTTATGTGGTGTGGCAGCTACTGAATAGTTGTCAATTAATCTATGACCTTATTTCACCACTTAGAGCTCTCCAGCTGCCAAGAAAATCAAGAGGAAGAGACTGGAAAAATAAAAAAGCAGTGTGGAAATATGGATAGCCTTGGACTTCACCTTTGTCCCTTTTATTTGCTTGCACAGTGTGTGAGCCCAGTATTGTAAATCCTCTGCAAGCAGAAACAAAGAAATCAGTTAGATTTTAGCACACCATAAATGAATCACAATTCACAATACGTTCATTATCACAGTGGCCAAGCTGGAGCCATTTCCTCAGTGTTTCTTCCAACAAGATTTGAGTTGCAGACACCTGCCTGTCCAGGCTGTGGCTGCATGGGAAGGAGCTATGCAACTGACCCACCACATGGCTTCTTGATATAAATGTTGCTTGATCAGCACTTCCAACACTGCTGATAGCAATTCAGTCCTATATAAATTAATGATATCAATCAATCAAACTCAGCCCAACCTATTTCAGCCCTAAAAAGATTAATGGATTACAGATATAATTTGGTTTTGTGTCCAGTTAAACCCACTCAGCACAATCTATCAAACAGTTAAGTACCCTTAAGGCAAGAGATTTCACTGAGCTTCTGCTGTTAATTGTGAACTAAGCACTTCACAGGAATCACCAGGCACAAAAAATTACCAGGCGGGAAACACAGTAAATTCTCTAAATCCAGTTTATAGTTGCATTTATTTTAACATCTACTTTTCTCAGAAATTTTGCATTTTGTGCAAAGACTGATGTGAACATGGCCTCTGCAAGGATTCTGCTTGCTCTGTAAATGGAAGATGTGTCTCTCTGGATCGTCCATGCCTAAAATAGAACATTCCGTATCAACGGGGTCTTTGTTCCATCTCATGCGCCATCAGGCTATGACTGACCTGGTAATGATCTAGCTGTGTGCGTGTGATTGGCTGGTTCTTTTCTTGCAACAGAAATCACATGAATTGCCAAAGGAACAATTATATATAGCATTAGGGAGGCTTGAAAGGAAAAAAAATCTCATTGGCTCCACTGAAAGAAAGTCTATTTCCATGACTTATGTGCTTTACAGGAAAAAGCCCTTTGCAAATCAAGATATTTTCCAAGGGGCAAGTAAAAATATGACAGATACTGCAGAAGCAGCAAATAGTCCCTTAAGGGCTGTTATCAGGGCCTCCCCTACAATTAGGCAGAATGAGGCACTTGCGTCAAGCAGCAGGTGCTGGTAGGTGGCATCAAGGTAGCAGGGGTGAGACCTGGGTGCCACCTGGCCTGCCCTGTTTCTTCTAAACTAGGATGCTTCCCTCAGGTGCAACAGAGAATACTATCCCATCACCATTTGGAGAAAGGTACGGCTGCAAGTGCAGCTGGTTTCTGGGAAAGCTGTGGAATGAGAGCACCGTCTTGTTCCTTGTCCCTTTGCAAAATATCTGGGCTGCTACACACAGATGGAAGTGCTGGACCGGGACACAGAAAGCTGTCTAATACCCAGTCACACCATCGGCCCATTTATTCTGTTAATTCTGAGGCAGCAGCTCTTCAGGATTTCAGGCAGAATCCTTTCCTAGCTCTACCTGATGATGCCAGGAATTGGGCCTGGGATGCCCCGTGTGCAAAGGGTCTGTCCTCCATCTATCTGTGAGACAGCCAAACTGCATGCAAAATGGTAGAAATATCTGCACATAGGTCTGACACTAGATGGCAGGTGCAGAGGCAGAGAGAGAATCCTGAGCAAGGACTGCCCTGGGATCTCACTAAAATATTCTCAGAGTTTGATTTGCAGTAGAAGCTATTATGTTTTCCAATCAATACAAAAGAGTCTTCCTGGAGGGCAGTACAAATTTACAGGGCTGGCCACAAAACCACTTAAGCCAGTCTGACATGCTTTTAAGTTGACTCATAGCCTCACCCTCATCACAACCCAGTCATGTTAGAGTACTTGGATTTAAGTCTATTTTGTTCAACTCTAGTTAGTGGAATCAAATTACTGTATTTCAACTGAAGTGAATTATGCATCAATGGGAGAGTTCCACAGAAGAAGCCAACAGTCCTGATTCAGCAACTTCTTATGAATTTGGAGCCCCATTCATGTCAACACAAAAAGATCACATTCACAAGATTCACATGTGTGCCTAAACATATTTTCTTTATGATTTTATCAAACAAATAACCTGATGGAAGTATTCTGTAAGTGAACATTCTAACAAGGATAAAGCCCTTAACCTTGGATCAAGAAGGTATATTTGTGAAAACTGCAACTTCATTGCTAAAATAACTTGATTTATGTTTATGTTCTGTCCTTGTATGATATATGAAGTTCTGTTGTTTGTAATGGTTATAAGTCAAATAAAAAGAATCTAGCTATTTGGTAAAATGCTGGACTTAAACATTTTATTTATTTCACATTAGGCCAACCTTATGGGTAGAAGCTGATAACATGCTAAAGATTAATTTAAAAACAAAACATAGTGATTCAATTCATATACTAGCCTTTATGAAAGTAAATTAAGAGTTTAAACAGAAAATGCACTGACGACATGTAGATTTCATAAGAAAAGTCATAAGTGGGTGCTACATACCTGACAGAGCTTTCCTCTTATTGCAATAGTAAATTGTGAGGACAGCAATGCCAACTAAGGCAACAAGGAGTGGTGCAAACAGCATATAAAATAACTTGTTGGTTTCTGGAAAACGAACAAATCATGATAATGCATTTTGAAAGCTTAGATTCAAGGAGTAATACAGTTTCTGGGCTGGTTCTCTTTTTTAGAGCATCTGTTGGTTCATAAAAGAAATGTCAGTGGTTTGGGAAAAAAATCTGGGACTAGTAGTTGTTCCTCTCTGTTAAATTCTGTGGTGTGCCATATTACAAGCTTCATTGGAAAGCAGGCAGAGCAAAACTAAAATTACAGTTACAATTTAGGTTTCATGCAAAACAAATTGAATGAATCCTGTCCCAGACTTTGAAGATGAAGTCCCAGAGAACTTACATTAGTGTTTGGCTTATCAATGTTCCAGTTGAGGAAACAACACAAACTCTTGAGAGACACCGGGACTACAAGTCACAGGCCAGTGTCCCTTGGTGTCTGATATCTTAGCCATGACCCTAGGGGACTAGGTGGCAGCCATGGGAATGGCTGAATCAGTTGCTTGCTACTGCATTTTTACCTTCTCCAACAGGTAGGTGGGACCAATCCTTCTGGAGGCACATGGGTTGTCAGAAAAAAGATGTTCAGCCTGTGTGCCACAACTTGCAACTGCGAACCTACTTCTAGTAAATAAACCTGCAACCTATTTCTTATGCAACATTTGGGTCATGTAATTTGACTCACCTCCTGCCCACCTCCACTCCTGCCTGTGGCCACAGTCTACTTTTTGAGGACAGAAATGTCATATTTAACAAGCACTCAGGGTCCAACTACCTAAACTCTACTCCCAGTGAGTAACCAGTCCTTCCCAACCTGTTGACCTTCAGACATATTGAACTACAGCATCTCTAATTCCTGGACAACACAGGAATTCCTGTCAAGGAATCCAACACATCTGGCAGGCATCAGGGTTGGGTAAGGCCAAGTTAAATCCTATGAAAATGCACAACTATTTTTACCATTGCATTTACCTTCTTGTGAAAAGGTCTTCTGTTGCATTTTACAAACTGCATCAGACCAATTATTCCCAGGAATTTTTTCCTCAGCTCCCAGAGCTGTGCAGCTTTAGAAAGAAAGAAAAAAATGGAAATGCATTATGCATAGGGGACTGCAGAAATACAGAACAAGCTCGTGGTGTCTCAGCTGTACAGTCAGTATCCCTGTTAGCACAGAGCTGGAGTTCCTCCTTCGTACATTCAAAAGCCACAGATGGTTTATCTTGCAAATAATTGTTGACCAAACAGCACAAAACAGCTAGAATGAATCTCTGAGCATACACAGAATGCTCCCTTCAGGAAGGGCCTTCTGAAACTGAGCATGCCTCCTCTCCACATGCCAATCCTCTATTTGGGCCACCCTCCTGTACTGATGACATGTCATGAGGTCAAGAGCCAGGGCTGCTTCGCCTGAGCGCAAGGAAGTCTCCTGTTCTAGGTCCTCTTCCACCAACTGTACATCTTGGTTATTCCCAGCAGCTGCCTGCCCACCTGGGAAGTCTGGCCTAGAGATAAGTGCCTCCACTCCTCTCATCTCAGTGTCTCGGCCTGACCTACATTTCTGTCCCCACTCCACCCCACATTCTGTTTCACATTCTGATTCCTCTGAAACCCACCAAAAGTCCTTGAGAACAAGCACCCAAGGCAGCCATCCTCCCTCCCAACACAGCCCAACACATCTGGATCAGTGGTTTTCAACCTTTCCACAGCCGGGGACCAGTGAAAACAGGAAAACCAACTTAGAGGACCACTAAGGCAGAAATAAAAATCACCATACACATAATACAGTATTCTGTGCATTCGTTTCCAAACACAATACCAAAAAAATGAAAATTCTCCAAAACAACCAGAAACCAAGCAACAAAAATTCCAACAAAAGAACAAAATACTGAAATTGGTGCAGTGTGGCCCTCAGTCAACTCCCACCATGCTGTCTCTTCGCACCCTGGCTCCCCCCTGGTGGCACCAGCGCACCCCCCATGAATGCGATGCCAACCAAGGAAGAGGTGTTGGTGCATAGCTAGCCCCCCTGCTGGTCTGTAGCAAGTGGAATGAGCCCCCCCCCCCATGGACTGGCAGGAATTCTTCTGTGGACTGGCACCAGTCTGTGGACCAGTGGTTGAAAACCACTGGTCTAGAGGACACCAGGTTGGGGAAGGAGGCTCCAAGGTCTAGTAAAAGAGTTGTAAACATTTCTTCCTAGCCTGTCAGCCCCTGTGATTCTCAAATGTCAGATTGTGAGAATGGCACCAGGGAAATCTTGACCACAGGAATTGCTGTGAACTGCCCAAAGAAAACTTTGGCTGTTAGTAGTATCCAAAAGAAAGGGTGTGCTTGTGGGGTTTCTCTGACAAGCTGCTATATCAGCATACCTCCCTCTTCCTTTTCAGGATTGTTTTGGATACACAGTGAGAATGCATATTTCACACCCACTCCATCCTAGGTTCCTTGGAAAGAGTCAGAACTTAATCAACAACATATGAAATGCCTAAAGAGAGAGGGGAATTGTCATTAAGCCACCACATATCTTTAGGCTATTGCAACTTTTACTGCCCTGAATAGGCTTCCTGTAATTCAGGAATCAATCAGATTAATCTTTTCAGTTTATTCGCTAAAATAATTTTAACAGAGATGGTAGCAAGGGAAGGCCAATTTGTCTGCTTAATTTCAGAGGAGGAGCAATATTCTCTCCTCCCAATTTGTCCCTCTGTTCTTCCAATTTTCTTCCTCCTCACTGCAAGTCTGAAAGTGGGATAAAAAATGGATGCGTAAGTGTTGCTACTGGAAAGTATTTCTCCTTTATTGCAAAATGGTGAAGCCCAAAGAGGGCAAATTAAATTGTGCACACATTTGCATGAAATAAATATGCATGAACATGAAAATTAGGGCTTCTGGATTCTACCCTTCAAGGAGCAAACAGTGGCACAAGCACATTATCAAGTTCTCCACAATATTCCTAAGGGGGAAAAAAAACCGAAGCCAAAAAATTTCGGGCTATTTCCTCAGCCTTTTTGTTATTTTATTATAGGGGTTCAGGGCACTTACTTAGTCCATGCTCTGCAGGCATCGGTTGCAGAAGAGACATTAGAGAAGAATCCTGTGGGACACTTCAGACACTCTGTATTCTTATTTTGCTGTACTGTGCAAACAAGAAAAAACAAAAGCAACTCATTTCATGTAAGAAGACAAGTTCTGTCGCTAAACAAAATCTTAGTACACTTTTCTGACTTAAGACAAGTATCAGTTATAATATGTCAATTATAATAAAGCTTACAAAATGGTTCTTCTTTTTGACCATACCTGCACCCTCCAGGAAACCCATCCATGCTGTATCAGCTATGATTTAACTATGATCCTGGAAGCTCAGCTAAACTTTTAATTCAAGCCAAGAGTGAAAACTGGTTGAAGAGCTGGGAGTTCCTTTTCACCTGAACAACAGCTTGCATGTTTCTGAAGTACATGGAGTTTTAGCAGAAATTGTAAAGTAACTCCAAGTTATTGCCCTTTAGCACTGACTTTGACTCTGCAGAAAGCTGTTCTCCTATTCAAAATATATGAAAGAAGTCCTACTAGTTTATAATGTAAGATTAAAAATAACAGTTTTTAGTGACTGAACAAGAGCTGCAGCTAAATCTTAATGAAGATATGGATCTACTTCCTTGGGTTTTTTTTAGGAGTTCAAAATGTTTTTGTTGCATGCAGAAATAAAAATTTGTTTTCTCTGTAGCAGTTCACTGATTTCATAAATGCAACACACTATAGTTTTTTTATACATAGCATAAAGGTAAAAAATGATATATGCAGAGTTATCTTCATTTTAGATGTCAAAAGGGTTTTGTGGCTCCCGGTGTTTCCTTTCCTGTGGGAAACGGGTCCAAATGGCTCTTTGGGTGTTAAAGGTTGCCGACCCCTGGTCCTGGTCTAGTGTCATATCAAAAGAGCAGACCAGTTGAGTAAGGGCCAGTATTCCCACCATCTCACTCACAAGCAGCAGGAAGCACCCTGGGGGTGCAGCTAAAGCTTTTTAGTTGGACAGGAAGGAGAGAGATTCCATTTGGAACCAACTTCTTAGCATAAGCTGCATTTCCCAAATAGCTTGCATTCTAACTTTACCAGTGTCTTTTGTTAATCACTTCTGCAATATTCCTCTTCTGGATCACAAAATCAGCCTAGCTGCCAATATTAATAAAATAAAGACTGCAGTTAGATGCCTCTTGCCCTGATCTGCTTGAAAAGAGAGGGGTGAAGAAGACTGGCCTCTGTCATGACATCTAGAGAAATCTCTATGTGAAACTGTCCAAAACATGTTTAGATAGTGAGAGAGGCTGCATTCAGCTAGCCTGATCTCTAAACAGTGTTGAGCATGACTGACACATGATATGAATATACACCAAGCCACTAAAACAAAGCAAAAAACTGGAAAATGTGGGTTATCTGCTGCATGCTATTTTTATCATCTCCTGCGAGGAAGAGAAATAGGCAATCAGACTTAAGTTCAGAATGAAATTCAAGCACTGCACTATCTCTGGCCTTTTCCTTAGCCTTCTTCATATACGTATTAGACCAGTCATCTGCCTCACATGCATGGGAGTGCGCAATGTGCATTAACATGCATGCCCGACCAGGATTAAGTGTGAGCCAGATGTTCCATGTGGAGCCTTGATTTGTGTCACTTCCCCCCATCAAAAAAGTGGGGGAGACATGCTGTGGCAACTCTGAATTTGGACTTTTCCTGAGTTGTCCTCCAACATGGGACACCTGTTGAATGAATTTTTATTTACTTATTTTTACTATATATCCTGCCCTTTCCCTTCTTGCAAGGAGCCCAAGGCTGCTTGCGTGGTCCTCCTCCTCTCCATTTTATCCTCAGAACAGCCATAAGAGGTAAGTTGAGCTGGGAGTTAGTGACTGGGCCACGTTATGTAGGGAGCTTCATGGTCAACCAGGGCAAAGAACTTGGTCTCCTGATTCCCAGTCCAACACTCTAACCACTACACACACTGGCTCTGAAGGTGGATGTATTCACCACACAAAGAGCGCTGCTGACCCAGTAAGCCTGTGAAACAGGCTGCTGACTTCTACAGAAGCGTTGCAGGAAATGGGGGATATAATATGAATGCTGAAAAGGTCCCAGAGATGTTAAACTAAATCCAGGTCTTACTAGGATGTTTCACTCCATAACCAGGTGGGCATTTGGTGTTTCGCCGACAGCAGTCACAGTCTTCACTCCAGTGGTAGCCAGCCGTGCAGGCACACTGCCGTTGAAAGGTGCTGTTTCCTGGATTCACTTCTATTAAAGCTTTTCCTATACATGTAATGAACATGGAAGTTAAAGTCAATGTCGTGCCTTTTGAGCACCAAGCCTTTCATCAAACATGTCCACACCGCAGGGGTGCCTGATTCAGAATCCTTGCTGGGTGCCTTGAGGTGCACACAGAGTTCCCAGCTCGTGTGGGATACTGAGTCATTTTCTACTGTGGTCCCATTAACACAGGTGTGGGACAACTCCCTGTTGTGTCTGTGGTTAAGGAACAGGGAAAAGATCAGTTGCCTACCAGTGGTATCACAGAAGAAAATATAGGGCAATTGCTGAATAGATATGGGACGGCAGTGAAACCTTAACAAAAGGAAGCTTGAGTTTTTTTTGGCAAAGTCTCACCTTTAAAAGTCTGCATCACTGCTGCATATGCCAATACTCTACTTGTAGGAGGCTTGTATTGCCCATGAAATTTCAGAAGCCTTTTCTTCTCCTCCCTTCCACTCCTCTTTCCCTGCAGTTCACATTCGCCTTCTCCTTAATCCAAATCTCTTTCCACTCTTCTAAAAGCCAGCTCCTTGTCAGATGGCTAGATTTTAAACTGCCCATATAAAATTAAAACTAGGTGGATCTTGCCCAAATCTAGCATTTTGTTTTTATTAATATGGTCACACAGGTGCTTAAGTATTCTAATGGGAAGTATAAACATTTCCTGTGTTTCCTTACCGTGATCACATATTTTATGAAGCAAACACTTTTCTTCTTCATTCCAGACATCCATATATTCATTTGGACCACAGGGATGGCACACCGTTTCTGAAGTTGTGGTGCATTTTGCAAACATGTACTTTCCTGAGGGCAGGATAAGAGACTGCTTATAGCTTGCATTCTGAAGCTGCGCTTTCCCACAGGCTCGACTCTAGCAAGGTTGAAGCGGTGATATTCAACATTCATCAAATACTGAAGTATGTATTCTCAAATTTTTGTTTCAAGAATACTGCCCCACAGGGTGGAGCTGTGATTTGCAGTCACCCTGGTAGCACCTGCATGGCCAGGACCAGCCCTGAGAATAAGGGATGAGTTGAAGCCTCCAGGAAATGGAGTGGGTTCAGTAGCAGAAAAGCTGAAGCATTCAGTTTTCAGGTTCTATTATCAGCTGCCAGTCATAATGGAACTTAATATTCTCTGACACCCCCAACTGAAGTATTCATGACTGTTTACAGTTTTCTTTAGACAAAGTTGCAGCCCTCCTAGTTTGGCTTCTGTGTCTAACTAGTCCTTTCAGTGAGACTTTTAGAGTAGGGAAAATGTCATGTTTAATTGTGAAAGGAAGCACAATTTCTTCTTGTGTATTTGCAGTATTCTGCTCTATCACAGTGCTACCTAGAGATTATGTAGCAGAAAAGGAAGAAACAAAACTATCCTTGCAATTGTGCTCAGACTTCAATTCTATACCAAAATGGAAAGTAAATTAGCAATTAACTGCCAACAAACTTCCAGGTATAGAAAGGGTCAAGAACTCAGAAACACTCTCTTCTTCCAGCATGACTCCACCTAAGAGGAAATTATCTTCCCTGCTCATGAAGCCCGGTAAGCATTCTCTAATCTAATCTAATCTAATCATTTTTCTTTATGATTCAAGGTCTTAATAACTGCTCTGTAACACCTTCATTTCTCCTGAATGTACTGGCTCACTGATCATGATTTGGGCTCTGATATGCTGTTCTTTAATTATTCATATCAACATTTTGTTGATACAAACTCTGTTTAAATTGTGTTTTTTTACTCCTGGGAAACTGGATCTCTTTTTTGTACCAATGTGCAGATTACAAAATGGCAGTCAGCTGAAATGACTGTATTTCATCTATCCAGGATCATGATCTCTAATTATCCTTCCTGATTTCTTTGTGAAACACTCTGATTACGTGTGCTGTGGCTGTTCCTTCTGTTTGTGCATGTTCATATGTGCACATTTAAACATATACATATACACAGGTAATATATATATTAGTTACTAATTTCAATTACACAAGAAATCTTCTAGAGTCTTGCAAGGAATGTAACTTAAATGTGTAATTATAGTCCTGGTCACTCCAGTTTAACAGAAACTTCAAATTGAGATGAGTTTGCAAAAGTAAAGAATCTGGCTACCAAAAGCTGATACAAACACCTACTCTGCACAGACGTCTCACTGCAAGTGTGGAATATGGGAAATGGCACCTGCCCATTTTTTTCTTTCCTGCCATGCGGACCCTAAAAGGATAGGAACATTTTGCATCCAAGGGCAAACACCACCAGCAGTGGGATTGTCCAGTGGTGCAAATGTTTTGGGTCCAGGTCAGTGAGATCACACAACAAAAGGCAATCTTATCCACAAAACTGGGACCACTACTTTTTTATATGGATTCTAATACAAAAACAAGACACCCTGATATTTTCCTGGACAGTAGCTGGCTTTGTTAAAGCTGCTACTAGAAATCAGCACGCGAACTTACTTTTTTCCTATGAACACAGAACATCCGGGACCTTGTGGTAATAGAGAAACTCATGAAACATCTTCAGGTACAAAGAGGGCAAGTAGAAGCTGACACTATTTACTGAATATGCTACCTGTTTACTGAAGTTGCTAATACTTGAGAAAAATATATGACCATCTCCTGACATGTAATTCTATGGCATGATCTATTAGGAAAAGTCATATCAGATAATCATTGTTTTGCCATATAAAGATCCTGAGCAGTCAGAAAGACTGGAAAGCAATTAACTCAAATGTGGTATACTTATTGTTCTTCATCATCATCATCATCATCACATTTAATGATTCAGATAAAAATAAACCCTTGCAAAAAATAGTAGAGAGGTGGCAATCTTAATGGGATTTTGGGAAACCCAAGGAGTATGAAGGATTCAACTACACATCTGCATGACTCTTCTACTGAAAATTTGCTGAAAGCACATAGACTGCAGAGGGAACAGAAAAGGCATGAAGAAATTTGTATCGTGTGTAGGAATGAGTGAAGTGAATGGGTCTCATGGGCAGCCTGAGTCTCTGAAAGCAGATGTGATGCAAAAGCCTTGGGAATGTTGGCCAAGTGAAATTCTAGGAAATGTTCTTAATAATATTCACAAGTACAGCATTTGTATAGTACTTACACATGTTTAAAGACCTTCAGATGCAGTATTTAGTGGTAAACCTTAATTCTGCAAGGTAGGTCAGTATTATTCCCTGTATTGAAGTGGTAGTTGGAAAGACAGAGAGAGCACTGTGCCCAAGTTCATCTTGTTTGCTCATTGCAGAGGCAAGTTTCAGCAATGCAATTCTATACATTAATCTACTCAGAAATAAGCCCCATCAAATCCAGTGGTACTAACGCCTACGTAAGTGTGTCCAGAATGGCAGCTGTCCAGCATAACAGCACCAAAGAAATATACTGGCACTAGAAGGATCAGAATGCCCCTTGTGGTCTTTACTGATGAGTTATCCTTAACTGAATGAATGGACAGCAGCCCCATTCTGCACTCTGTTTTATGCCAAATACATTCCCTAGACAGGAACATATTCTGCATTTTATGGCAAATGGCAACACAAATCACACACAAGAAAGGAACATCTGACTTGAAAAAAGAAAACAAAGCCATGAACAAGACATTTGACTATTATTTTTAAAAGTCATTGACTAGTGAATATAAAGAACATCCTCAGCAGATTTACCTGGCTCACATTTGGTGCAGCATCGTCCCAAATATTCATAGTGTTGCTCACTGATACAGGGAGTGGTGATTTGTAAGGACAGCTGAAGGACAGGAAAAGAGACAAATAATGACACCACAGTAAGTCTTTCTTAGGTTAGGGAATGTTTAAAGGATCAGAGTGTCACTTCTGAATGCGAATTAGCTTGCATGTTAACTACAACTGTAATTTCTTGGGAATGCGGAAACCATATAGATACCTGCGTGCAATTGGTGGCCACATTTGGATAACGGTTTCTGTCTTATTTCTGGCAGGATGGAAACAAAATGCAGGACATGCATCTCTCCTGTGTTTTTCCTACTCTGTCGCTTGTGATTCCTCCTCCTGCTGCTGCTGCTATGCTGAGGAAGTATAAGCGAGGGTGCTTCCAGATGGGAGGCTTGTAGCACAACCATCAGAAGACCTTATGCAACTTATTCATATCTCTCTCCTTAATGGATTTGCTGTGGCACAAAAAAGCAACAGTGATTGGAAAACATGGGAAGGGTACAAAAGGAATCTGATGGTGTCTGGACTCATCATAAAATTCTGCAAATGAGGCAAGGAAATAGCACAATAAAAGGCTAATCTGGAAGTTAGATGCCAGCCCAAAGAAGACTGGATAAAGATGTGCTGGTTAGAGCATGTTGGGAACTGTAATAGTTTTTCTTTTGGAAAATAAGATTGCACTTTAAGAGAGTGACGAATCTGAGAAAAGCAGTACTTTCCAGAATGTACTTACATATTTGTCTTGTTCCTGTACTGCCTCTGGTCAAACAGAACTTTGAAACACTACAAAAACTTGATATACTAGTTTACTAGACACAAAAGTGAAAAGGATTTCTATTGCAAGCAGCAGTCTTTCCGCCAAACTGCCTCCAATTCTCTGAAACAAATAACCTCTCTCCAGTAACACACCCAAAGGCAGCATCTACAACCTCATCAACTACCCACTAACCTCTCCCTGCACTTTTTTAAATTTATTGAAAGCACAATAGCTACCATTAAAATAAATTGATATCATTTTAATATCCATAAAAATATTAGCTTTCTTAACATGTGCTTCCTGGGTTTAAATAAATTCCAGTAACAGAAGATCATCTCAGTGAGTAGGGGAAACTGCCAGCTTTCAAAAGAAATCTAATTCACTCTCTTCTACGTTTGCTAAATAATGAACTATACATTTATAATAACTTTAGGTAACTGTTTGGAATTATTTGGCTGGCTTGCTGAAATGCTGCATAGCCCAATACACCTGGATTTCAATATACAGAAATATATAGATGCCATCTAAAAATAACTCAGTTTTGAAACATGGCGACACAATAAGAATTCAACATACTGTTGGCTTGAATGCTTATGATTAGCTATGCATATAAAACTGCACAGTTAAACTATGTAATTTACTACCACAGAATAGAGATGGCCACCAACTTAGATGGCTTTAAAAGGGGATTAGACAGATTCATGGAGAATGCTAAGAATGGCTGTATGCTAAATAATCTCTGGGATCACAAGATGATTGACTCTGAATACCAGTTGCTAAGCATAACAGGGGGAGAGAGTAGAGAAGTACAGACTCTGTAAAATATATTCTGTTTAAGTTTTGGGATTGTCAGGTGCTTTTGTTCCATTGTTGGCTTATTAACAAAACTGGATTTGCAAAAATGCATTTGTATACATTTGTGGGAATTCACACTTTTAAAATGTGCAAACGCCTGGAAAAATGAAGATGTTCGTGCTTCAGTCTATGCTAATCTTTTATTTTTTTATGAAAAATTAAAAAATGATCTGCAAGTCCATGGAAGCTTCACACCTCAGGTAAAGCTGCTCCACTGCAGGATTTCTCTGACGGCCCTAGGAGAGAGTTATTGCCATATAGCCATGTATATTGCCATGTACATAAGCTGCCCAGAGAGTCTATGGCTAATCAGGCAGCATATAAATCAAACAAACAAACAAATAAATAAAGTAAATAAATCCTAGATCTGCTTAAGAGCTGTAGAATACATGATGTTGGGTCACAAAGGTCTTCAGCTGGATTTAGCCGGGTTTTTCTTTATGATTTACACAGGCAAAATAGCTGCACTTCCCAACATGCCTTCCAAATATTTCCCAGAATTTTTAACCATTGACTAGGTTGGATGAGGCTGATGGGAGCTGAAGTACAAAACCATCGATAACCCGCTGTGACGACTTTGCCCAGCACTTCAAGGAGAAAGTCGCTCAGATTCGTCACGAGCTGGACTCCGCTAGTGACTCAGATTCCTTAGGGGAGGTGCCAATGTTACCATCTGGTCACACATTGTTGGATGAGTTTCAGTTATTGTGGCCTGATGATGTGGACAAGGTGCTTGGACAAGTATGTACCAGCACCTGTGTACTGGACCCCTGCCCATCGTGGCTACTATCCAAAGTCAAACATGGGATTGGTTCCTAGATCTGGGAGGTCATCAACGCATCTTTGAAGGAAGGCCGGGTGCCTGCCCCTCTAAAGGAGGTGGTGGGCTGGCCGGACCTAAAGAAGGTGTCCCTGGATCCAGAGATGGCTGTCAATTATAGACCAGTGGCCAACACCCCGTTTTTGGGCAAGGTGCTGGAGCGGGTGGTGGCGGGACAACTCCAAGCTCTCTTGGATGAGACTGATTATCTGGATCCATTTCAGTCCGGCTTCAGACCTGGGTAAGGTACTGAATCTGCCTTGGTCGCCCTGTATGATGACCTGTGCAGGGAGAGAGACAGGGGGAGTGCGTCCCTGTTGGTTCTCCTGGACCTCTCAGCGGCTTTCGATACCATTGACCATGGTATCCTTCTGGATAGGCTAGGGGGGCTGGGAGTAGGAGGCACTGCTTGGCTGTGGTTCCGCTCCTACCTTGACGGCCGACTCCAGAAGGTGGTGCTGGGAGACTTTACCTCTGCGCCATGGCAGTTATGCCATGGAGTTCTGCAGGGGTCTATTCTGTCCCCCTTGCTCTTCAACATCTACATGAAACCACTGGGAGAGGTCATCCGGAGGTGTGGGCTGCGGAATCACCAGTACGCTGATGATACCCAGTTCTACCTCTCTTTTTCAACTGATCCAGGTGAGGCAGTGGCTGTACTGAACCGGTGCCTGGCTGAGGTAATGGGCTGGATGAGGGCCAATAAACTGAAGCTCAATCCAGACAAGACGGAGGTCCTGCTGGTAGGTGGTTCGAACTTCTGGGTAGGTGACTTGGGTCTTGTCTTGAATGGGGTTGCACTCCCTCTAAAGGACAGGGTCCGCAGCTTGGGAGTGCTCCTTGACCCGGAGCTGACTTTGGAAGCTCAAGTGTTGGCGGTGGCGAGGAGTGCTTTCCATCAGCTTCGGCTGATCCATCAGCTGCGTCCCTACCTGGAGGACGACTGCCTAGCGACAGTGACGCATGCACTGGTTACTTCCCGGTTGGATTTCTGTAACGCGCTCTATGTGGGACTGCCCTTGAAGACAGTCCGGATACTTCAGATGGTGCAAAATAGAGCAGCCAGATTGCTGACGAGGACTGGGTGTTATTCTCATATAACCCCAGTCCTCTACCAACTTCACTGGCTTCCCATCGAAGTCTGGGCTCAATTCAAGGTGTTGGTAATTACTTATAAAGCCCTTAATGGCTTGGGACCCGGATACCTGAAGGAACGCCTGCAGCCATATTTGCCCTCCCGCCCCTTGAGATCGGCAGCAGAGGCTCTCCTCCGAGAGCCTTCCGTAAGAGATATCAGGAAGCAAAGTACCCGGAGGAGGGCCTTCTCTGCGGTGGCACCCCATCTGTGGAATGAGCTCCCCAGAGAGGTCCGCCTGGCGCCGTCGTTATTTGTTTTTCGGCGCCAGGCCAAGACCTTTTTATTCAAACAGTATTTTAATAATCTTTAATATTTATAGTTTTAATTATGCAGCCAGTGTGTTTCCAAGTTTTAATTGTAATTGTAATTCTATTTGTTTTATTTATTTGTGTTGTGAGCCGTCCCGAGGCTGTGCAGCAATGGAGACGGCATATAAAAACTTTAAATAAACAAATAAAACACCTGGAAGGCACCAGGCTTGGTACGGTGCATCTATGTTTGTGCATATTTGTGCATGCATGTGCAAGTATGAGATTGAGAAACCTGCCCATAAAACCCCTCAGGGCACTTGGCTTGTTTTTATGCCTAGTAAAGTTTAATGGCAGTGTGATCTGTAATCAACAGATAGAGCTTTTCATAGCACAAAAGTATAGCTTACTACCACATCACGACTACAGATTATTGCTATTACATTACTTTTTTATACCACCCATAGCTGAAGTGGTCTGTGCGGTTCGCAACATTTAAGCCACCCATCCAGATTTCAACCAGGCCCAAGCCTGCTTTGCTTCCAAGATTAGGCAGCATCAGGGACTTCATGCTATGGAGAAGCTACAGATTTGCTGCTGCCCAGGGCAAACCAGACCTAAGGCCAAAAAAGCAGCTTTGGAGAGTTGTGATTTTCTGCTGAGACGCAGTGGAGGTAAGTTGGAGAGGATGTGAAGGATAAAGGTGCGCTTAAACACTTCTTTGTTTGTCTACCATTTTCACACTGCAAATCACCCCGTTGCAAAATCTGCTCTCCCAGCACCTTCCTCACTGCCTGACAGGGTTCCAGATGCGTGTTCGTGAGCCCCTCAGAAATGTACAAAAATGTTTATCTAGAGAAAACAGCAAAGGATGCAAGACACAAGTTTGTTCCCCGTGAGTAACCCCCAACTCTGTTAAGCCACTTTCACCTTATGTGTCTGTCCTACATTCTAACAAATAGGAGCAGTTGGAACTTTGGTCATTTCAGGATTAGGTTCTTATTGAGCAATCACTGTGCTTCATTCATAGAATTTGATGCAGGTCGAGACATGGCCCCCTTTTTGCTTGTATTGCTTCCATGCCTTCCCACAACTTCTTTTTGTACACACACACACACACACACCCATTAAGGAGTGAGAGATTTGCTGCACTAAGTCTTTTGTTTGGTAATGCTAGGAGTTCTCTTTCTGGAAGTCCAGGAAAGAAACTGGAAGGGTTTCTCCAAAGAGGCATCAT